CGGAGCACGCCGCATCCACCCAGGCTTCCGGAAGCGGATCTCCACGTCCAAGGTCGGACGTCCACCTTGGCCCCTCAGAGGCTGACAGCACAACCAAGGCAACTAACTAGTGACCTCGCACTTGACCAGTTTCTTGAGTGGCATCTGAAATTCAGGCAGCTTGGCACAGAGTCCGAAACTATCAGCCCGTAGGCGACACCCCGCAGTGTGGGCGGAGGGCTGCTCATACAGAGCTCCCCCCTCAAAACACAGGGTTGAAGAAGCTCCCCGTGTCCGACCTCCGCAAAATCTGGATACAGGCGTGTTAAGCTCCCCGTGTCCGACTTCAGCAAAATCTGGATACAGGCGTGTTATGAGTAGATGAAGTTTGAAACCAGTATGTGGATCTTAAAATCACGCTAACAAATCTAAATCAGCTTTCCAACCCCTCCCCGAAGTCTGAAATGTCCGGGGACACTGTGCTTTTAGGAACTGAGGACATGCAGTATTTCGGAGAACCTGGATAGTCCGCCGCGCGGAACCGAGGCAGACTCAGAAGACACGGTTCTGACCTTTAGTTGGACCATCTGTGGGGCTCCCACGATACATCTGTCCCTGGAAGGGCACAGGCAGAATTATCCAGGGAAACCGGCTTTCACACAAAATGTTGTAGATCATCCTCCTGACGACTTTATGAAGCAGCTAGAGCTTGTCTCTGGTACTCATCCCAAGGCCTTACACCTCGGGGGGACTCATCACAAATATTTAATTTAACCTTCACAGCAGGAAAACGGGCATGCGGATGTTTAATAATAGGCACAGTGACGAACACGGGCTGACCTCACACAACTGCTCTTAGGACCCGACTACATAGTGTGCGTGAGTGTACTTGATCCACTGAGACCTAAACAGACCTGATAAATGCCTACGTTCCCACAGGAGAAGACAGAGCCATGGCTCGGTCACAGCCAGGACATTTATCTCCCAAAACAGTGCTTCTCGCGGTTAATGTGCCCCAAAGTGACCTGGAGATCTTGCCACAGAGCAGATTCTGATTGGGCAGGTCTGGGGTGGGGCCCGATCCTGCTGCCCACCGGGTTCCTTGGCCAGGCCCGTGCCAGCTCCCGGGACCGCCCTGGGCAGGGAGGCACTCTGAGCAACCATCCGGATGCTTCTGCACGCCTGGCCTGGAAGGGCCCATCCCCTGAATGTAACGCAGACGCTGGTCATCCCTACATGAGCTTTGGCGTAAGTCTGCATGCGTCACTTGGTTTTGAAGAGTACCTTACAAACTTAATAGCAAAATGCTCTTTCTTGGGCAGCCAAAGAGCGAAAGGGTAGATTTTTTACGAGGTTGTCTGCCAGCTCCGGTTCTCTAGGACAGAAGTCAACGGGCAAAAACAGAGCAAGTTAATTCGCCAGTTTACTATGACTTTAGCTCATCACAGGGGGAGGTGGCAGGGGGAGGGGTGAACCCTGTACTCGTACACACGTACACGCAGGCACGCGCGCACGCACACACAGAACCTGCCAATCCCAACTGACGGGGAGACGAAATGATCTCCTCTGTCTGAAGAAAGTGGTTCACACATCCAGGGGACCCAGCACCTGAGCAAACAAGGGACGTGCAGAAACGCCGCCTCCTGACACACAGCCTGGGGACTTGCGGAGGCGGTGGGGACAGAGAGGCCCGCGGGCCCTGCAGCGTGGGTTCTGTGCATCAGCATCGCCAGGGGAGGCCAGACGATGCAGACTGACCCACCCCTAGTTTCTCCCAGCCGTCCGGAGGGAGGGCCCGGGACGCAGCGTGTCCACGGACCACACCTGACGCCACACATGTCTGCGCAGGGAGAAACCACGTGCCACTCACGGTGCCCCAGTGCCCAGCCCAGTGCTGTGTATATTGGCTCCCGGTAAATATTTGCCCCATGCGTGCCCATTAAAACTGTCATTTGAAACAGCTTTATGACTTGCTTAGGCATACTTGCCAGGGCGCCTTGTACACGTTCACTGGCAAACTGCACGTGCGCCCGGCCCTGTAGCCCCCGCACCGCGGCCTCCCTGTTACATCCACCCCTCGGAGAATTAGCACCAGCCTTCCTGCTGCTGTGGGGACGTTCGAGCTGCCGACGGCCTTCTGCCAGTGACGCTGACAACTCGCCTGTCCGAATGACCCTGAAGGAAACAGTCCACTTGGGTAAAACAGGCCCATTTATCACACACACTCATGTTCCCCTGCCCCACCCTCTAAAAACAAAAAATCCGCCGGGAAGAGAACACCAGTGTCTGTGTCCACCTGGGAGCGGCCCTCGGCTCGGACAGTTCCCTCTCCGAGTCCTTCCACCCTCCCCGGGCGGTCCTGTTTCAAATCCTGGGCCTGAACTGCATGGTCCCGGAGGCACCTTCCTTCCGAAAAACAGGTGTTTCTGTTACAACTAGCTCTTTCGAACTGCCGAATATTTCAATCCCTGTGCCAGCTTTTTTTTTTTAAAAAAAAGTGTTTGTGAAACAACCAATCAGACGTGGCTGGTGCCTCCAGAATTATAAAAGTAAGTCGTTTCTGGGGAACGTGACCGCGAATTAGGAAAAACCTGGGGCGATGAAGATACGGGTAGGGAGAAAAATACACACCCGCGCACGGAATTTCTGTATTTTCTAGCATCAACCCGGAATGAACAGAACAAGGTTCAGCTTACAACAGCCAAGGGAAGACTGGTCTGCTTATTACTAGGTACGTGTGGTGTTCGGAAGCTTTGGTCCCCTTGACTTGGGGTGACTGCGTAAATAATGGCTTTTGTTCCGAGAACTCAGCCGCGATGACTTCTTTCTCTCGGCCATTCAAAGGAAGGTTTTCAACATTCCCGGTCGGGGTGGTGCCCACCAGGCCTGTGTAAGAAAACTTGCCCTGGGAAGTCAGAAAAGTCCGAGAACCGATGTCTTAAATTAATTCTAGTGTGGCTTAATTAAAAAAAAAAAAAAAAAACCAGGTCAGTGTGACTTTATCCCTGGAACTAGTTATCTCTGCTGACCTTATTAAACCAGTGAAATAGGTCTGAGGTGCTCCTTTATAGAAACGAGGGCTATTTTAAAAACAAGTTCAGCAACTGGCACATAGGAAGAGAGTTAAAATACCAGCGGCCTGAGCCCAGATAAGCAACACGGAGACACTACACATCCCTCATGCTGGTTCCCTGAACCCAGCTGAAAAAAAAAATACCAGCAGAATCATTCTGAGCCACCTGCTGGAAGAAAACCCCTAACCTTGACCCCAGGGACAGCAAGTCAAGACCGTGACTACATGGAAATGTAACAGCAGCTACTGCTTAACCGAGAGGAAAAAAGTCCCTCAGTTAATCAGGTGACTAGCTAGTCGGCACCATCACAGTACAGAGGCAAAGTGGTTTTGGGAGGGAGTTTGCCTTTTTCTGAAAATTGCTTCTTCGAGAAATAAGTCCAATGGACAATCACCATTTTTGTTTTTGTTTTTTCATCATCACAGTTACAGAATGTCTGGCCTTCATTTTATCTTTTATCTTTTTTTCTTCGTTCCTTTCAGTTTATCCTTTGTGATCTGCGTAGGCTAAATGAACTGTAAAATTACAAACTGCGGCATTGCTGATAGAATCCCTGCAGGCAGACAGGACTGTCACCAGCACATGGTTAGCTCACTCCCCGGATATTCCTGGACCGGTCCGGTCCGGTCCAGGGCTGAAAGGCCGGGAGGGGGAGAGGATCGAACACGCGTCTTTTAATGACCTTTAAGCTTTTAAATCGACCAGGAACTGAGAGAGGAAAGTGCCAAATCCCTTGACCGATTTTTTCAATGTACATACATCCCACCACTTTAAGACTTTTCAGACTTCGAATTCAGAGAACTAAATAGTCTCAGTTTTACTGGACACAGGTTTAAAGACGTTTCACGTGTTGAATTTGTTCTCAGAATCAAGACAGCTATTCACGTAACCGTCACTAAGGCTCACGTTCCTTCCTAATACATCGGGGGAAATGTCTTTCTTTCCAGATCTGTGGGAACTGCAAAGGTTCAGGCACAACCAACCACAAGAGACAGGTACACTGAGGACATGTAGAGCACACAGGAGTTTTTATCCATGGGGCTCTCCCAGGGCAAGAACTGCAGATAAACTCGTTGTCTTCGGTGAGAAAATGTCCAAACTTTAACGAGGTTAAGCAGAACGCTACCCTCCTCTTCCTGTGTTGTTTCTTAAAATGTTTGCGGAAAACTACTTTGTTGTTGTTATTCATCCTCACCTGAGGATATTTCTCAATTGATTTTTAGAAAGAATGGAAAGGAGGGAGAGAAAAAAGAAGAGAAACGTCAATATGAAAGAGACACATCAATGGGTTGCCCTCCTGCACGACCCCAACTGGGGCTGGGGGTCAAACCTGCAACCCAGGTACGTGCCCTTGACTGGAATCAAACCCGAGACCCTTCAGTCTGCAGGCCGATGCTCTGACCGCTGAGCCAAACCAGCCACGGCAAGGAAAACTACCTTTAAATAGCTCCAAATTTCAATTAACGAAGCATTCGTCCAACCTCACATCAACCAGGGCTTATCTTACAAAATCAAGTTCACAAAAAAAAAAATAAACCCTTGGCTTAACACTTTCCAGAATACCCGCCCCTCCGTGAAAAGTTCTAGAACCCTCTAAACTCGTGCATAACCGGATGTGGTCTGCGAGGTGACACACTGCCGTTTGACATCCAGTCGACTGCACGGAACCCAGGCAGTTCCATCCGGAGATCCTCTGACCTGGGCAGGCCGGCACGCCCCACAGGACTGAGCTGAACAAGTCAGGCCGAGTCCGGAGCAGACTGCCCCCCTTCCCGAACCCTGGGCTGCTCAAAGAAGTCGCTGGATGACGTCATAGGCAGGGCTCAGGACCGGGACCCCACCTCGCTGCTGCTGAATAAAGCACACGCCCCAGGGTGCCTTTCCATAGAGGACACACAGCATCCAACATCCTAGTTAGTGAAATGGCACAGTAAGTATAAAAAGCCATCTGAGAAACATAACATTTTAATAGATGAAATAAATACTCCAGTACATGCAAGGTAAAAACTTGACATTGGGGAGGGGGGGGGGAATCACTCTAGTGTAAATTAGAAAATAAAACACACACTCACAGTAGCTTTCCCCCCATTTGCAAATCACATGGCAAGGTCAGACTCTTTCTGCACCAAGTATACGCTTAATCCAACTTAAAAAAAATAACAACATACAAAAACAAAAGGTAGCTACATCCATGTCTAAGAAGTGAAAACTGAGGTAACCTTTCTTTTAATCAGAAAAAAAAAAAAAGACCAAAAGAGAAATGAACCCATGACACCTCCTTCCTGCCCAAGTACTAAGGTTTAGGTGAGGAATTCCCGAAGAGGAAGTGGGGTGGCGGTAACCCGCAACAGCAGGTCCCACACTCCCCATCTCCAGGCTCCTCCTGTGCACGGGCTCCTGGGCGCAGGGTCCGAGTGTGGGTGTCAGCTGGATGCAGGGCCCTGCCTTCTGGAAGATTCCTCTGGAGCATGGAGCTGGGGGGCGGGGGGTGCTTCACCTATGATTCTTTGGTATACATGGAGAGGGCGACAGTCAGCATCTTCCTGCAGTCTGGGAGAGGAAGAGGGGCCGGGGCGGGGGGCTAATTCACAGAATTGGAATTCACTGGCGGTAAAGTCCTGGGCGAAGACCTCTCCCTTAAAGCCTGAGATAGCAGGGTGCAGCCTTCAGACACGGCGCAGGCCGAGTGCCTCAGCCTCTCCCTGTGGTCCGACATCTTGGCGCCCCCGTCGGGGTGCAGCGCCAGATCCCTGAGGCACTGGGTCAGGAGCACGCAGGCCGACACCACGCTCATGGCGCCGCCGAGGATGGCCGTCTGCACCGCCTTGCCCTCGGCGCTCAGGGCGGCCGCGCGGCCCAGGAACTGCGGCTCGGTGGCGAAGCCCACCAGCGCGCTCACCGCCTGCACCAGCGGCCCGCTGAAGAGCGCGCAGCGGCCGCGGGCCAGCTCGCTGGGCGCCGCCTTGACCTCGCGCACGCAGGCCAGCAGCGCCGACGCGCTCGTGCTCATGCACTTGACGCCCAGCTTGAACTGCTCGCGCGCGAAGCGGTCCCGCGACCGGTCGCTGGCCAGGGCGCACGCGTCGGTCAGGAACTTGAGGTTGCGCGACAGGCCCTGCGACACCTCCAGCAGCAGCTGCGGCGTCATGTCGGCCAGCGCGGTGGCGCGCAGCACGGCGCAGCCCTGCTCCACCTCGTGCCGGCAGCGAGTCACCCGGTAGCGGTCCACCAGCCCGGGCTGCGCCGGCTGCGCGCCCGGCGTGGCCACGGCCGCCAGGTAGGCCGCGTGGGCGGAGCACTCGGTCAGCGCCACCACCAGGTCGCCCAGCTCCAGCAGGCTGTCCCCGGCCTCGGCAAAGCGGCCCATGTTGAGCTGGCTCTGCACGTCGTGCGTGAGGATGGAGAGCCCCTTGGTGCGCGCGATGATGGTGTCCCGGCACTGCTCGAAGGACTCGGCGCCGGCGCCGGCGGGGCCCTCGGGGAGCACGGGCCGGGCCTCGCTCGACAGCAGCAGCAGGTCGGCCACCAGCTGCATCCTGCCCTTGCACTGGTCGCACACGGACACCAGCCTCTTCCGCGGCTGCGCGCCGGCCCCGCCGACGGCGCTCGTGGGAGCCGGAGAAGCCGCCTCGCCGGTGGGCTGCCCCGCGCTGCCGCTAGCCATCGCGCCCGGGGGGCACTGGCATGCCGCTGGGGAGCCCGCTACCGCCGCCGCCGCCTCCGTGGCCGTCGCGACTCAGCTGGCCGGGGCCGTGGCGCCTTCCCCGCACCATCATGCCATCCACCGCCGCGGGCGGAGGGCGCGGGGCGGCGGCGGCGCGGGGGGCGCGGGGGGCTCTCGGCGGAGCAGGAGGGCGCTGCGGGGTTCGGCCTCCGGCCTCCGGGAGGGCGTGCAGGAACCATGAACCGGGCACGGCGAACTCACAGCGCGCGCTCCTCGGGGCCGAGCCGCCAGGAAAGCCCCTGCTGCCGGGCTGCCGCTGCCGCCTTCCTGGGCATGGCCCGGCCCGGCCGGCCGCCGGGGCGCGAGGGCGGGAGGGCAGCTGGGAGTTGTCCTTCCTTCCTTCCTTTCTTTGAAATCAAACCCCTTCCTCGGGGAGGAGCGCGTGCGGCGGCCCCGCGGGCGCTGCTGTCAGCCTCCTCGGCTCGGCGGCGGGCGCACGTGGGCTTCGGGCGCCGGGACCCCGCGCGGCGGCACGGGCCCGCGACGGCGGCCGGGGCTGGCGCTGGGGGTCGCGCGGCCCCCCGGGCGCATCTCCGGCCCGCGGCTCTCGGGAAGCGGCCCGGCGGCGGCGGGCCGAGGGTGTGGCTAGTGCTGGCGCGGCCGCGCCGAGTCAGTCGGGCGGGAGCTGCGAGGATTGCGCACGGAGGCGGCCGCTCGGGTCTGTACGCCGCCTGCCCGCCACGCCCGGCGGCCCTTCCCGCCTCGCGACTCACAGTGCGCGGCCCGGCGCCCGGGCGGCACGCCCTCCGGCCCCGCGCGCCCCGCGGCCCGCAGCCGGCTGTCGGCGCGAGTCCATGCCCGGCGCCTCCTCACCTCGGGCCCGCAGCGGCTCCGCTCCCCCGGGGCCCCGGGCCCTGCGCATCGGACGTCCTGCGCGCGGATCCCCGGCGGCCGGGCCAACTCAGAAGGTGCCCGCGGCGCTGCGGCCACCCGCCCGGGCCCCGGCTCCTGCCATTTTTTGTCAACCTCCAACTTCCGAGCGAGCCGGAGAAACTGAAAGGAAGGGCGGGGGCCGCGAGGCAGAGGGAGACGCCACCTCCTCCCCGCGCTGCACCTCGGAGCGCGGCCGTGGGCGCGCCGCCCGCCCGCGGGGCTGCTGGAGACTCTCCGGGTCCCGGCCGGCCTCGCCCCCGCTCGCCGCCGCCGCGGCCGCAGCCTCCCCGGAGCCTATAGAAATCTTTTGTGTGGCGTCACCGCCTTTCGTTTAAATCCCGCTTCCTCCTCTCGCCTTCCTCCGCCCCCTCGCCGCTGCCGGATGCTTGCGCGATGCGCTGCTCCTCCCCCGGGAAGCGGGCGGCTTCGGGAGGACGCCACCGCCCACCGCGGCCGTCGGGGCCAGGCCGGCGGTTCCGGGTCTCCCCGCGGCCCTCGGGGAGACAGGAAGGGAGGACGAGATGGAGGCCCTGGGCCAGGGCTCTGCGCGCGCTCTGGGGAGTTGGGGCGAAGCCGCCAGTCTGCCTTACGTAAGCTCTCAGCCAGGCAGGGGCTCCGGGCGGCTCCCCGCCCAGAGAGCAGGTCACAAAGGTGACCTGTTTTCTGGACTAGAGGGAGGAGGACACTGGGTTCCCTCCCCTGATGACTCGCTGGGGTGCACGTCCGGTTTTCCAAGCACCCCCCTGCCCTTTGTGTGGTCTCCCGCGGAGGGTCCGAGGGGCTGAGCCCTGAGGAAGGCGCACTGGACCTGGAGCCCCAGAAGCGCAGCTGGATGCTGCCGCCTCCTCCCTAACTCCAGCCGCATGCAGTCAGAGCGTGGGCTCTGCACCAGACTTCCTGGGGTCACGCTCTCCCCAGCCGTTATCAGTCGTGAGCTAGTGAAAGTTCTCTCTCCAAGTACCCCTTCTTGCATCTTGAAATCAGATATTCTGCACTGCCTGCTTGAGCACTTAGCTCATCAATCGTAGCTGTCAGAACGAACCTTGATTGGCAGTGTGCCCTCCCATAACCTCTGGGGCTCCTGCTACATAATGGGGTAACTGTGGCCAAGCCTTTGGAGGGAGACATCATTACTGCGGCTTCTCATAAGAAATCTGATGCGCCAATGCCTCAAGTGCCTTCCTAGGGGCAGGAAGATGGCACGGCCAGGCGAGGAGCCCACCCCAACCTCGTTTCATTTCACCCAGACCTTATTTTCCAGGAAGTGGTTGAAGCACCTGGGCCTCCTCCCAGCAAGTGCCCCACCTTAGTCCTGAAACAGGCCCTCTAGGTGCCCAGCCCGCCACAGGCTGGGTGTGTACCGCCAACAGACTTGTTTGCTCCTCTGTCCCCTTCTGGGACCTGAAGTCACCTTTTTCAGCCAGTTGTCATCATTACATATAACTAGGGTGACTCTGCAATTTACTGTCCACACGGAAACACCTTGAGACACGCCACTAATAAAGTAACCTGAACAGTAGATAGAAACCTGAATGAGTAATCACCCCACTTAAAAAGTTTGCTTAGCCCGGCTGGTGTGGCTCAGCGGTTGAGCGTCGACCCTGCACCAAGAGGTCGCCAGTTCAATTCCCGGTCAGGACACATGCCCAGGTTGTGGGCCCGATCCCCAGTGGGGGCGTGCAGGAGGCGGCCAGTCGATGTTCTCTCTCATCGATGTTTCCATCCCTCTCCTTAGCTCTCTCTCTCAAAACCAGTAAGTGTGCTCAGACGCCTTCTGGAATCTGGACGAGCCTTCCTGTTCTGTGAAAAAAGGCCAATGAAACATTTTTAACAGGCGGCTGTTCTGTGCAAGGGAGAAGCAGCTGGACAGTCGAGTTCTCTCCACGGCTCTGCAGGAGCAGCACCCTAGTCTGACTTGGCTCTAAAAACATAAGAAGTCAAACCCATCCCTCTATGCCAGGTTTATTCATGAAATGGCCTTCGAATCGGGGTGTTTTCCCCCCAAAGCCACTCGGTGCCCAGGGGTCCCATTTTCCTTTCCCTCTGTGTGCAGCCTTGCTGCTGCTGCTGGAGCATGTACCCTGGCAGTGAGCTGTGTGACCCGGGCTGTCCCGTGTCCAGTGCTGTTCAGTGAGACTGTCCTCTCAGTCCCCCGCCTCACTTCTCAGATAGGGCAGCTCCTGAGCTGGTCCTTCAGGCTCCACTCCTGCCTTCCTTCCCGTCACTCCACAGACGGGCACCTACCACGTGCCAGGCCCCGTGATGGGCATATAAGCAACACGAGGGCTCTACCCCTTCTGCAAAGTCCAGCTCAGAGAGAGCAAGAGTCCAAGAGTCACACCAAGGAGGAGTACAATCTCACTCCTGGGCGGTGAGAGCAGAGCGAAGAAGCTGTAGCACAGTAAGACTGCTGACCAAGCAGTAGGGCTGCAGCTCGGCAGGGTCTCGTGAGGAGTTCTGACCAGAAACAGGGGAGTGACGCGGGGGCCGAGGCAGGGAAGGCCGGCCGCGCTTCTCGGCTCTCCCCCTTTGCTGTAACTGCCGCGGAGCCTTGTTCTAGAGGCTCGAATAAACGGCGGTGGGATGTCCACGAGTCTACGTGGCTGTGGAGTGGTCCCTCTACCGGCCTGTGCTGGACGTAAAACGTGAGCAAAAGGTAAACTCAGTGCGAGGCCACCGAGACCCAAGTTGTGGCTGCGGCAGAGCTCAGTCTAAGCTGACTAACAGGGCCGTCCGCCCCGAGTCGCTGCAGTTAGGGCGCGCTCTTCAGAAAGCAGCACTGACCCATTCTACCCCTTTTAAATTACAAGTGAGCCAAAAGTATCGTGCAAAGTATTTTTCACTAAAATGGAAAACGAGCGTGAGAAGAAAACTGAAACATGTGGACTGAAGGACTGGCTGGGAGGTGCACGGAGCAGACGGGAGGAAGCTGGGCCACGCAGGGAAGAGCCTGGCCACCGGGGAATGCATTGTCTGGCTCACGGCCACCGCTCAGTAGGACTTCAACAAGAAGCAAACAGAGCTAACAGGGTTTGGCGAGGACCAGGACGGCGGAGCTGCCAGCGGGGCAGGCTGGTGGGGAGACCCTTTCTCTCCTTTGCCTGTTCTAGATGGTGCAGCCACCACCTGGACTTCAAGCAGGTGTCAGACAACAGTGTGAGCATGTATTTATTTTATTGTGGTAAAATATTTATAAAGTTTACCATCTTATCCATTCTGTGGTATTGGGTACGTCTCATTGCTGTGCATCCATCACTACCACCCATCTCCAAAATCTTTCATCTCCCTGAACTCAAGTTCTGTACCCATTAAACAAAACTCCTCCTTTCCCTCTCCCCAGCCATGGAAACCACCATTCTCCTTCCTGTCTCTATAGATCTGACTATTCTGGGTACTGGACATAACTGGACTCATATAGTATGTGTCCTGTGTCTGGCTTATTTGATTTAGTATCTTCACGGTTCATTGACATTGTAGCATGTGTCAGAATTTCCTTCCCTTTAAGAATGAAACATTCAGCCCTGGCCGTTTGGGCTCAGCGGTTAGAGCATCTGTCCAGGGACCAATGAGTCAAGGGTTCCATTCCAATCAAGGGTATGTCCCTGGCCCTGGTGAGGAGATGTGCGGGACGCAACCAACTGATGTGCCTCTCTGACATCATGTTTCTCTTTCTCTCTCCCCCTCCCACTCTATCTGAAGATAAATGGAGAAATATCCTTGGGTGAGGATAAAAAAGAAACATCCCATCATATGTGTACAGCTGGGTTCTGATACCCAACTTTCACAATGCACTCCAAACTTTATAGACCAACAACCAAGCTGTGTCTGGCCTACAGTGCCACCTGCTGGTCAGTTCAGGACATTTTCTGCCCGAGCGGACAGTTTGGAGCAGTGTCCGTTTTGTTTTTGTGCTCACAGATGGGCCAATTCAGTCTCAGGCGATCTTTCCCACGGCCACACATCACCCTTTACCATCTTCTTTCAGTGTCTGGAAAATTAACATCCCCTCCCTTTTCCCTGACGCAGTCGTCCCCATAGGGGGTGGAGGAGGGTCTGTGATTCGTGGGGCCGGGGCTCATCAGGGAGCAGGGTCACTGCGCGACAGGTCACTCCTTACCCAGCATGTCCTCCTGCTTCAGTGTGCTGTTTCCATACAGTAAGGAGATGTGGGCAGGATCTCATCCATCACTTCCATCCCCGCCCCCATGCTCTCTCTGTTCACCTGAAGCCTAGTGGGTGAGGGAGGTCTGCATGCAGGACCAGCCACACCATGGCGGGCACCACTGATCATTCAGGCCCCAAGATCTGTGAAATCTAAAATTCCTCCAATCGACTTTACTAGAGAGCCCTGCATGGAGGTGAAGCTGGCTTTCACAGGTAAATTCTCCGTCTCATTTCCCTACTGGTTAATGAGCTTTGGATGTATTTCCCATTTTGGAGAACCCTATAAGGAAGAACATTTTCAAGGCAATTGCAGTATTATGTGTATCAATCTCAGAAGTTCTGGTGAAATTAGACTATTTTCTTTTGGTGAAGAGAACAGTATCAATCAATATTTTGGAAGCATCAGTGTGTTTTTGTGCCTCTCCTTTTAAAATATAACTGATTTGAAATACCACTGCTCAAGGTTTCCTCTTACTTAAAACAGGGACATCATCACAGTATCCCTTCCGGCCCTGACCTCCTATACTCTGTGTTGTTTGTCACCTCTGCTGCTCTGCAAGCTCCTTAGGGCAGGGGCCCTGTTACACTAACCTTCCCGTCAATGCCTCACTTGGTTCTTGGTTGACAGTAGGCCCTTACCAAACAAATTCCCAAAGAGTTGAACTAAATCAAGTTCCAAATTGCCAAAATGGTGAAAATGCAATCAGTCCAGATGTTTTCACATCAGTGGGTTATAAAATGAATTTCCTCCTTAGATAAAAGTCAGCAGCCCTGGAATTTTTTACATAATCCTGACAATTTCTTTAAAACCCTAAATGACCTTCTTCCCTGTATAACTCGATACTGTGGGTCAGGATTCCCAGCACTTCTGCACCTTGGCTTGGCAGCTGGTGAGATGAATGCACAGGGCGACCCCTCCCAGCAGAGCACATGATCGGCCACAGCTGTGCCTGTTTTTTAGCATGACTGCACCAGGACAGGGCTCTGAGCCACTGGGTGGAGCAATACGCCCTGGGGAGAAAGCTTATGACATTTCCCCTATGATTTCAAAAAAGAAAAGAAGAGAAAAAACTCTTTTTCTTATGAATTGTTTCTGCTCAATGTCAATAGAAAACGTCATAGTGTGTGTATACAGATATATGCATGACAATGTACACTATCAGCCACCACTCCAGGGAGAGAATTTAAACTACAATGGGCTTAAGAGCCAAGGTGAGGCAAATATTGTTAGCTAGTTGCCTTGTCAACCTCCACTTCCTCTCTATCCTTGACAACAGAATCCCAGTTTTATTTGAGGTGACAATGTACCAACTAGAAAACAGCTTCCCAGCCTACCTTGGAGGACTAGGATCTAAGCCAGCGAGATGTAAGCAGAAGTGCTGTGAGGAGTGTCCCGGCAGGCTGCTCCTGACGCTGACTCCACTGAAAAGTGTGTTCCCTTTGGACTTCCTTCCCTCTTCCTCTGGATGAAAGTCAGCTTGATGGCTGGAGCCCCAACGGCCATCTTGGACCTTGTGGCGACCTTGAGGATGGAAGCCACAGGCCAGTATGCTGGAGCAGGATGACAAAAAGGCCGGAGGCCACAATACCAGCCCTAGATGCTTAGTTTCCATCTGTGAAAGAAAAACCAAACAATAACAATAAAGCCCTCTTTCTTGTTAAAAATGTTTGTTTGTTTTACTTGTTTTCTGTTATAGACAACCTGTCCAAGCAAGGTGGCTCGTTTGCTAGGGCCGCCCTAAGAAAGTGCGACAGATCTGGTGGCTTAAGCAACGAAAATGTATTTATCCCTGTTTGGAGGCTGAAGCTGCAGATCCAGGTGTGGGCTGGGCTGGTTTCTTCTCAGGCCTCTCTCCTTGGCTTGTACATACTGTCTTCTCAGGTCTCCCCGCCCTCTACACGACACTGGCCGGATGTCCTCTTCTTATAAAGACACTAGTCATCTCCGGTTAGAGCCCCATCCCAACTATTTTGACTTTACCTCTTTAAAAACCCAGCCCCCCAATACAGTCACAATCTGAGGTCCTGGGGAGTCAGGGCTGTGACACAGGAGGTTAGCGCGTTATGGCCCTGGCCGGTTTGGCTCAGCGGTTAGAGCGTCGGCCTGCGGTCCCGAGAGACCCGGGTTCGGTTCCACTAAGGGCACGTACCTCGGTTGCAGTTTGTCCCCGGCCCTGGTTGGTCGTGTGGGTGGCAGCCACTCGATGTGTCCCTTCACGTCGATGTTTCTCCCTCTCCCTCCCTCCGGCTCTATCTGAACAAAATGTCCTGGGTGAGGATAGATGGACAGATAAATAAGTAAACAGGAGCGCGTTACGCGCCGTGGGAAACACTGGGTGCCAGTGTGCAGCGTGTGGACACGTGTAAATACAACACCACGTCGAGCCCTGGCTGGTGCAGATCAGCGGTTAGAGCAGTGGCCCTTGGACCCAGGGGGCCACGAGGTTCCCCGAGGAGGGCGCGTCCCTGGGGTGCAGGTTCCATCCCGGCCCGGTGGGGGTTCATGGGGCGGCGACCCATCCACGAGCCCCTCCCACTCGCTAGACCTCAGTGGGACCGCCGGGGGCGAGGACTAACGACCAGCAGGGCGTGTGGATGCGGGACACACGGACGCGAGTGACAGCGGCAGGCGGAGGGCTGCGCGGCCGGGATGCGCACCGGCCCCGCGTCCTCGTCTCCGTAGAAACGCAGCGCACGACGCAGCCTGCAGACGGGGTTGGCGTCGGAGCACACGCTGCAGCGGTTTTCAACATTGTTTAAAAAAGAAAGTTTTTTAGAGCCGTGTCGGGTCCGAGAGCTGGCGGGACCCCCGAGAAAGTTGCGGCAAGTTGTCCAACGCCGCCGAGACGGCGGGGCCGCGGGAAGCGCCTGGGCCCGGCGCCTGCGGCCGACGCAGCGCCGACTCACCTCGCCGCCCGGGACGCGGCCTCGCGAGGCCCTGAGGGGCTCTCGGCCCGGCCCGCGCCGGAGAGAGAAACGTCGTCCTCTGGCGGAAGCCGAGCGGGAGCGCAGGCCGGGTCCGCCCCGCCGCGCCGGCAGCCTCCGCGGGAGCAGGGGAGGAGCCTGGGGCGGGACAAGATGGCGGAAGGGCGGGCTTCCGGAGCGGACGGGGCGGGGCCTGGCGCGCGCGCCCGCGGGGAGGCGGGGCCGAGGGGCGTGCCCAGGGCGGCTGCCGGAAAAGCGCGTCCGGGGGCGGGGCCGGCGGCGTGCGCAGGCGTGCTCGCGTGGCGGCGGCGCGAAGATGGCGACGTCCAGCTGGGTCCGGGCGGCCGTGGTCCTGCTCTGTGCCTCGGATCTGCTGCTGCTGCTGCCGCCCCGGGCCTGCGCGGCCGACGGCCCGGCCGGGAAGCCCGGCGAGGCCGCCGCGCCTCCGCCGAAGAAGAAGAAGGACATTCGCGATTACAATGATGCGGACATGGCGCGTCTCCTGGAACAGTGGGAGGTCCGCGGCGCGCGCACCCTCGGCCTTGGCTCCGTCTCGGCCCCGCTCCCCCTGCCGCCCTCCCCCTCCGGGTCGCTGCCTCCCGACCCCCTGACCTCTGCTCGTGCCACGAGGCCTCACTGGCCCTCTCGAGCCCACGCTGACCCCCCGGGCCCCCCGTCCCCTCGCCCCGCCGCCCCCCCGTCCCCTCGCCCCGCCGCCCCCGACCGGGCTCCATCCCTTGCCCTCGTCCACCGCTTCTGCGGCCTCTGCAGTCACGGGTCAGCCTCCCGCACGGAGCTGCAGTTGACCTTCAGAGCCCTGGTCGCCCCCGCATTGCCCCCCGTGGTCAGTGAGCCCCGACTCCGGCACGGAGACCTTTCCTCTGTCTTCCTGAAGGATGGGGGGCGTGGGTGGGGCGGGCTACGGCCGGGGTCACTCTTCCAGAGGGTCAGCCCAGGTTTAACAGGTCTCCCGTCTTCCAGATCGGTAGGGTTTCAGATCGGTTGACCCTTCGGGTGCATTTCCCTGGTGAGAGTTTCGTAATTTGGGGTAAATCCAAGGCTAGCCAATCTCTCTCCTGGAACTCAACTTTTTTATTTATTTTTTCCCATTTAAAAGAGCAATGACTTCTTTTAGTGAGAGGACGCCGTCTGAGCGCGCTGGAGACCGCGACTGCAGGGAGTTTGTAAAGAGCTCGTTGGATAAAGGTCACTGGCCCAAACCACTTTGCTGCGTTTTTCACGTCCAAAGGTGGTTGTGTTGTCCTGATTAATTTAGAGTCAGAATCCAGGGTTCTACTCGTTGAGTAACCTTGGGCAAGTCAGGTCTCCGCTCTAGGCCTCAGGCTCCTTCCCTCCAAGGCGAGATTTTACTGGACGATGCCTTCCAACTAATGTTTCATTGTTTTGTGGTTATCTCTTAGTGTGTGTGTTTGATAGAGCCTCTCAGGCCTGAGTTTAAGGTACATCTGATGCACTTGACCAGCAGAAAGCAGACTGTGTTTTCATGTCAACTTGCAGCTGATAGAAAGATTGGGGTAGAGTGGAGGGGGCAGAGACCACCAGCGAAGAGAACTAACTGCATGTTGAACTTCCTTCCCCATTTGCCATCTCCCGTGCAATCTGCTAGTCTGCGCCCCAGCAGAGAGCGTTTATCTGCCCAAGTGAGAACACCGCCTCGTGAGGAAGTCCTGCCCCGGAAACACTCAGAGCCTGAGCTGGACAAAAGGGGTGCTGCAGTGATGAACAGGGGGTCCTGGTAACAGTAGATAACAATACAAATAACCATAAACAAAGTAGGGATTGCTGAATGCGGGACAAAGAAAGTGCTGTGGGAATGTCAGAGGGTTTCTGGAAGGAAAGGGCATTTTAGATGGGCCGGGGGGCTGAGGGGGAAGGGCCTCCCTACAAGCAACAGGAGCAGAGGATGGGACGCGGGGGACCTGGGCAGAGCGGTGCAGTACTAAGAGCCTGTGCTCTGCAGTTAGACCCCCTGGGTTCAAACCACTAACTGGTGGTTTGGACTGTAAAGAACTTTCGTTTCCTCTCCTGCAAAATAGACGTGTTAATAGTCTCCAAGTAGGCAGTTCTGAGGACCAACTGAGAAAGCATGGCAAGGACCCAGAATATAGTAACTGATCATTAGCTTTGATAATAAAAATCTGTCACTCGGTATAAATTGGTTTGGTTGGTTGGAATAGACTGAAGCAAAGTATGAGAAGTAAAGATGGTGGGCCCAGGTCAGGCCAGGCTTGAATGCTGTGGAAATATCACAGCATAGAAGGAAATATCAGTCCCTTATGAGTTAGAAAAGTTGTATTGCTCAAATTTTACAATACTGGAATGTTTGTATTTAATCGTCCATAATTTCATCCCAAAACATCTCTTTGAAGCCCCCTTCTGTATGCAGACAGTTGTAACTACAGTGAAAAGCGTAGCATCAGTATGTTTTCTGCTGGTTTTTTTGTTCCATAATACTTTTAAAAGGCTTCAGAATATGCCTTGGAGTTGATGTTTCAGCTGTTGACGGTTCTTAAATAGTGGAATGTCACGGTTAGAGATCAACTTGAGCAAAGTTAATTGATTAGTAAAGTTTAGGAATAGGCAGGGAGAGCATCTGAAGGCAAAGACAACTTAATAGTTAGTAAAGTAACTTGCTCAAGGTAGCATAGCAAGTTGGTTGACTTTCCAAATCCATCCCTTTAAAGCCTGTTCTAACCATTTGCTGCACAGCCATACACCCTGGGGAACAGATGTGCAAGTGGGAGGTCGTGAGGACGAGCTGACGGAGCTGGAGGCTGCAGGATGGAGTGGAAGGGAGAATGGGAGAGATTCTCTTAACAGGACTTGGTGGCTGGTTGATCGTGTGCCTGCAGGTGACAGCCACATGAAGTGAAAGGACAGTTCCGATCCCAGCTGCACCCCTTGGTACCTGTGGTCCTCCTTTCCCTTCTCCCTAGAGCCAGGGCACGTCCCCCTGCAGGGAGCACGCAGACTGAGGGGCTGGTGTTTGCAGGCACTGCGGATGGGAGGCCTCCCCAGCATCAGTGGGTTGTTCTTTCTGTGGGGAAGCATATCCATTTCCATGGCGCTTTTTTGTAGGAAACAGTACTTTCTCCCGTGGCAGCAGTGCCCAAAACCAGCCCTGCTGTTTCCCTGCTATTTCTTCTGTGACTCAGCATAACATTTTTTTTTTAATTAATTTATTTTTGTTATAGATGTTTCTCCCCCCCCCCCCAGACACCCCTCCCGGTCCCGCCCCAGCCCCTCACAGCATTGTTGTCTGTGTCCATTGGTCACGTGCACATACATATCAGTTCTTTGGTTTGTCCCTCACCCGCCCCCCTGCTCTGAGGTTTGTCAGTCTGAACCGTATCAGCGTAGCATCTTTTGAGATTGGTATGTGTTGGTGTTTGTTCCTTGCTGTGCAGCACTTTGTTGTATCACCATGCCAGAATGTGGCCGTGTCTGCAGTCTGTCCCAGTGGGTAGCTTCTTGGGGGTGAAAGAGCTGTGGGAGCCGTCGTGTGGGGCTCTGTGGGGTGGCCTGGAGGGACTGCAGTACGCCCAGTAGAGGAGGGAAGCTGCCGCGTTTTCCTATTTTCTGTCATGTCCTAGACCTGCACCTGCTGACGTCCTTGGGGTGTCCTTGCCTCTGCCAGTCGCAGAGCACATTTCTGACGACTGTCGCTCCCCCTCCCACCCTCACAGAAAGATGACGACATAGAAGAAGGAGACCTCCCGGAGCACAAAAGGCCCTCAGCGCCTGTCGACTTCTCGAAGATAGACCCAGGCAAGCCGGAGAGCATACTGAGGATGACGAAGAAGGGGAAGACCCTCATGATGTTTGCCACCGTGTCCGGAAACCCCACGGAGAAGGAGACCGAGGAGATCACCAGCCTCTGGCAGGGCAGCCTCTTCAACGCCAACTACGACGTCCAGAGGTAAGCCCGCCCGTGTGCGGGGGCTGGGCTGTGCGGGGCTCTCCTGAGGCTCTGTCTAGCGGGGTGTTCTTTGAAGCATATTCATCAGTGGTCAGAGCCAGTAAGTTGGTTTATTTTTTTAGTAACTCATTATCTTTGTATGTTTAACCTATTTTATCTGAGTAAAAAGTGGTCTCACTTAGCCTCCTTGGGGCGGTCTCCACCCCGGTTTGGCAGTGTGCTCCCGCAGCAGTTCCTGGGGCTGGAGAACGCTCCGCTGCAGCTGCGCACTTCGCCTGGGCCAGACGTTACCTGGACTGCGGCCAACGGGTCTGGTTTCCACAGCTCAGTGCGGCCCGAACGCGAATTTTAAGGAGCTCTCTTTTCCTCCTCAGTAACAGCTCTAAAATTCGGGGTCCTCACGGGTCTCGGTTCAGGAAGGTAAAGAAAGACGTGAAGGAGCGCAGAGGGAGGAGGGGGCAGCCCGCTACCGCTGGCCCAGGCGCCCTCGGACAGGTGGTGCGTCGGCAGCGCGTGGTCCACCCAGACCCCTTCTCCTCCGTGCTCCCTGGGACCTGTGGAGCGTGGGGCGGGTGCACGTGGGCTGCTTGCCGTCACGGCCTCCGGGTCAGGGTTTCTGTCCAGCCCCGTGGACCTCTGACCATGACCCAGCCCCGCGGACCTCTGACCATGAGCCAGTTGGAGCCAGGGGCTTTCAGCCTCCGTCAGCAGAAGCTTCTGGCCACGGACACCTAACTGGGCCCCTGAGAATGTGAGACCTTCCAGCAGCAGCCTGGCCCCCCAGCACAGCCCAGGCCCTCTGCAGCCGCCTCGGAGCTGCTCCTCCTGTCCCCGGCCTGCCGTCCACCTGTCCCACCCAAGGCCCAGGTCCTGCTGCTGCTCTGATCTGAGCCGAGGGCTAAGTGTGCAGTCAGCTAGGATTTCCAGACGTTAAATTTCAGAAGTTCCTGGGCCTCAACATGTCAAGTTTTGTGCTCTGTACTCATGTAGAATTGTTTTCCTGGTTCACCCTTTGCTGGCATGAGTGACTGTGACCCTTCTCCCTGTCAAGGTTCATCGTGGGCTCAGACCGCGCCATCTTCATGCTGCGTGATGGGAGCTACGCCTGGGAGATCAAGGACTTCTTGGTGAGTCAGGACCGCTGTGCTGATGTCACTCTGGAGGGACAGGTGTACCCTGGCAAAGGAGGCGGCGGCAAAGAGAAAAACAAAACAAAGCAAGAGAAGGGCAAGAAGAAGAAGGAAGGAGACCCGAAATCTCGGGCCGCGAAGGAAGGCAGTCGAGCTGGGAACAAACGAGAAGACCTGTGACGGGGCAGCCACCTCCCCGGCACGCGGGGCCGCCAGCCAGGGCCTGGGGCGGGGCGGGCGTGGGAGACCGCACACCAGACGGAGGTCCAGTTTCTTCTGCCACGTGACTAGCTCGTGGTCAGAGGAGGAATCACCCTTGAAAAGCCTTCAAGTAAGAAGTTGTTTCTGTGCTAACATTGGACACTGCCAAATCCCGGTTCACTCCGAAGCCACTGCAGCCGGAAGCCTGACCGTTGCTTTTCCCCACTGAATCGGGGGGAGCTGCTGGCTGCTGTCGAAGTCCCCTCGACACCTGCTCTGGTCTCCTATGCTCGGTGTCTGTGCTTGTATCTCGTTAACTGGAAGGTACCAGGTTCTAATCAGACGAACGCTAAGACTCGATTTGATTGAATCAGGCTCTTCCCGCCACAGAAGCATCATCTTCATTGTGTGAGGTTGAAGCACGGAGCTCCAGATACGCAGCCGGCGCTCCGATGTGACCCCAGCCCTGCAGACACTGCCGAGGACAGAGACCCTGCCACTCGGGGGGCCCGAGTATCTCCTTCCGTCTGTGGACTTGAATCCTTGTCACTCACAGAGAACTCTGGCGTCTGTCAGCTGTTCGGTGGTCTGTGGAGTTCGGGGGTTCGTTCCGGGTCCTCCCCCAGGAACCGGCGATGCTGGTGTGCAGGTTCGCGTGTTCGTTGATGGGTTTAATGGAAGGCAGCAGTCGGGAGCCGGCAGTCCCCTGCGGGTGTGGCGCAGGCTCCGGAGCCGCCTCCATTCGTAAACACGAGTCTTTGACCAAGTGCCTGGGGTTGCTGTGTCTGTGTGGCGCACACGAGGCCCACCTGCTCGCGTCTGATTTCGCCGTTCATGGTGAGAGTCTGGGATTTGTATGCCGGTATCATTTTTAAGAACTAAAATTGTTTGTAAAAACTTTCCATTGTGATTTTAACAAAGCAGCACAGGTACGTGGTTAGAAAAGGCGTTTGTTCAAAAACGGTATCGAGTAGACGTCTGCCTGGTCACCGCTGCCACTCCCGTCCCTGCGGAGGCCCCGTTCATGTTTCCAAGAACGTGTGTCCCAGCTCACAGCGGCGTGGGCCTCCCACACCGGTCTCCCCTGGTCGGGCCCCTCCGCTCCCCGTTCTGCTCGGGGTGGGCTGTCTGCCCTGCCGGCCCCCAGCTTCCAGGCCACCCCACTGCAGGGATGAAGAGCCAGCCCGGCTAAGGTAGCTGTGGTCTCGGGCAGCCTGAACCCCGAGGTGAGGGGCTGCTGCAGGCCGTGGCCGTCCAGAGCCTCCGAGGGGGCCGTGCAGGCGCGCCCGGGAGCCAGCACTCACCCTGTCCTCGGCGCAGAGCTGACCCCGGAAATTCTGCCGCACGCAGAGATACCCGATCTTTGCCTAGCTGACCAAAAACAAGGGTGGTTTTATTTCATTCACTCCGAACAGTTATTGTTGTGTTGGCCGGTGTCATTTTTTATTTGACGGTCTGAGGGAAGAGAGGTCCGTGACCCTGACGAAGCAGGCATTGTGTGTCTTAGAAATTCTTGCAGCCCCCTGGTTTGAGACCCTGGTCCACGCCTGAGTCCAGCCGCGTCTGCAGCACGCCCTGTGCCTGGTGTTCAGGGCTTTTTCTACTTTCTATTTTTTAATCCTCATCCGAGGATACTTTTTTCAACTTTTATCTTCAGATAGAGTGAGGGGCGGAGAAACATCGACGTGAGAGAGACACATCGACTGGTTGCCTCCTGCACTACCCTGACCAGGGCTGAGGACCAAACTGCAACTGAGGTATGTGCCCTTGGCCGGAGTCAAGACTCTTCGTCCGCAGGCCGACGCCCTAACTGCTGAGCCAAACCGGCAGGGCTGGGTGCTTGTTTTACAGTCATTTGTTGCGTTTCTGTCGTCGGTGGGCACGATGGTCTAGAGCGGCTCTCCCGATCACTCGCTTCTCGGGAGACGAGGGAGCAGCCTGCAGCGCCCCGTCCGTGTGTCCGCCTGGCCGTCTTCCCGCGGCAGCGCCCCCTCTGCAGCCGCCGCGGCCTGTTTCTGCCGAGGATGCAGATGCGCCCTCATTGTGAAACTTGGGGATTCGGTGGAGACGAATGAGAATCACAGATAAATCAAAACTGCAGCTGTTGTAGGAGAGAAGTGCACAGTGCCAGGAGGGGCTGGAGGAGGCGAGGAAGGAGGAGTAACCCAAACAGGACTAGAGCTGCAGAGCCCTGTGGGGGGGTCCGGAGAGGGAGGGCGGCAGGAGGTCCGTGAGGACCGGGCTGGAGAGGCAAGAGATGGCGATCGGGAGGGTGTTTCCGGAGCAGCCTGTGGGTGAAGGCGGCCCTGGTCAGCAGGTTGGCGTGAGGGCTGACCCACAGTTGGCCTGCAGTCACCAGCACTTGGGTTTCAGTGGTTTGCAGTACACAATGCTGTGGCGGACGTTTAAATATTACAAAATACTTGGGCAAACAGGTTTGTATCTGAAGGGCAGATTGCTAGAACAAACACAGTTTAACGTTTTGATGCAGTTGTCAGATTGCTGTCCCCGCAGTTTGTCAACGGCCTTTCCCAGCACTGGCCTCGGACCCTCGCCAGCCCCGCCCGGGCATTCGCTTGCCAGGTTCATGGGTGTGACCCGCAGTGGTGCCCCTGAAGCCACCACACCAGAGGAGACACCGGTGACTGGCAGCCCCCCTGCCCCAGCGCCAGGGCAGATGCGTGTGGGGAGCCAGCCTTCAAGTGCTCCCCGCCCAGCCCCCCACCCACCCAGCTTCAAGACGCCCCCCAGGGACACGGAGCGGCCAGGCGCCGCCCAGCGAGCACAGACTCACGGACAGAAGTGTGCTCAGGGTGGGAAGGACAGATGCCTGGGCAGGTGTGTTCTTTGCACAGGGGTTTTCGGGTCCCGTCTAACACGTGCATGGCGTCTCTGGGCTGTGAAACGAGTTTCAACCCCCCACCCTCATCCTCACGCCCTCTGGTGTCTGGTCATGCTGACGTTTCGGTTCTTCTGCTGGTTTCTTTGACTAGTAAACCTTTTCCTTCTTTAATTCAACCAACTTAGTATGTGAACCTGAGCCAGGTTGAGGGATTCCGCAGACTCCCTCCCGACCCTGGTTGAAGTGCTGCCTGCACACCGACAAGGCGCAGGGTGACCGCTCCCCTGCAGCAGCCAGCCCCTCGTCCCGTTTTCCGCCGGCTTCCTGCGGATTGTTCCTCACTCCGAACGTCAGTCATTTTGCTAGAAAAAGTCATTAGCGTTGGTTTTCAGGGATCATTTTTTTTATATACCCCTAGAACCTGCTGTGTCATTTTCAATTGCAGATTCGCTTTTTTTTTATTCTTTTGGAAAATGTATCTTCCATTGTTAAGTTATTCTTGGTTTTGTGTTGGAGTTTGGGGTGCTAGTTTTTTCTTAGCTCTGAAATGAGTTACAATTAAAAAAAATTTTTTTTTTGTTAATCCTCACCTGAGGATATTTTTCCACTGATTTTTTAAATAGAGTGGAAGGAAGGGGGAGAGAGAAACATCCATGTGAGAGAGACACATCAATTGGTTGCCTCCCACAAGACCCTGACCATGGCCGGGATTGAACTCGCAACCCTTCAGTCTGAGGGCTGACGCTCTAACCACTGAGCCAAACCAGCCAGGGCATGAGTTTAAATTTAAAATTTTTTGTTCTATTCCTTATCTCACTGAGCTTTTTGGAATTTACACACACCTCCCAGTTATCCACCTGTGAGCCTCACACCTGCCCTGCCCGGAGGTGTGGGCAGCTCCGGGTACAGGTGACCAGCCCTGATTGCAGAACCACCTCTTCCGCAAGACCCCTGTCGAGTGAAGTGCAACTGGTCTCCACCTTCCAGTCCAGAAAACCAAGGCACAGCGGGGGCAGTCGTTCAGCTAAAACCCTCTAACGTGATCACTGTATCCCCATGTGGAAGTCGGTTTAAAATGGAGGGATGTGTCCACTAGGGGGCAGCAGAGACAGGCCCTGCCTCAGGCCTCACCACCTGCTGCTCTGACTTGCCACCCATCCTCCAGGGAGAATTCTTCAGCTACTGTTTGAATTAATAGATCGCTCGAGCTGTGCTTGCCAGATGTCTGGAAATACGCAGACGCCTCCTCTCTGACTTTCTGGTCTCTGTGTGCTGGCGCCCTCCGTGTATCGTTTATTGCATTGTCATGGCAACCGAAAGCAGTAGGCACTGTCCTATGCCCACCTCCACACAAGGGAATGAGGTGCGTTTTCTGCAAGGCCACATCGCCAGGAAGGGACAGCCCGGATCTGAACGCGGACACACAACAATAGCCGTCTGGTGTGAAGGAATCCAATTATAGCCATTTATTTTTGTCAGATCAGCAAAAAATATAATTTTTGGTGTGCGTCAAAATTTCAATAATTAGTTTGTGTTCCATGAGATGAGAAGGTTGAAAATCACTGCATTAGTTCTTGGAAGAGAAAGAAGCAGACCAACAGGGCATTTCATCAACCCGACGTTTCTCAGAGACCCACTTCGAAGGAGACAGGGCGGGCAGACAGGTGGCCTCCGCGGCGCGTTCACGTGATGCAGCGGGTCCCGCAGCGGCGCCGTGCACTCTGGCGCCAGCGGAGGCCCTGGGACACTTGCGAGCTGGCCGAAGGACTGACTCCCCAAACGTGACATTTGAGACAGTTCATTTACCTGGCAAGGACTTCTCCAAGGGCATATGTAATAAATAAATAGAAAATATATCTATTTTCATGGTGACACCTACAAGAAATGTTTACATACGAAACACACTATACAGCTTAATTCCCGAAAAAGGACCAGCTATTTCGGCAACAGGAAGAAGACGAGCATTCCAGAGGCGTGCGTCTCCTCGAAGCCCGGCCCCGCTGGACGCTCGCGCACGGAAGGACGGGCGTTCTGAGCAGTGGGAAGCGCGCTGCTGCCGAGAACACGCCGACGGCGGCTCCTGGCGAACGGACAGGTTCTGCGCAGGACTATGTACAACCCGGGATCCTCGACAGACACTGAAGTGAACTGAACCGAAGACTATTCCCGGCCACCGGAAGTGAGCGCATCCCAAGTGGTTCACAGTGTGAGACCCTCGCACAAGAAGAGTTTGGAAAACTCCACTATGGACAAGAACATGAGGTCACTAACGCACCTCCCCTTCACTGCTCTGCCAGGGAAGGTCCTTCGCGGCCGCCGTGTCTTAGAGGCACGGGGCCCTGTGTGCTGGGGAAGCCTCTCTGGCAGTCGGCTCGGCCTGGGGAGTGGACTTGCTGACCGACCACAGGTGCCGCTGGGCAGAGGGAGCCAGGAAGGCCCTTGAGCAGAAGGGCTGTGGTGGGGAGGACGGGCCGGCCAGCTCGACAGGAGGCCAGAGCCCTGTGCTCACTAGGGTGGAACCACAGGTAGTCTCCCCTCTTCGGGGAGCTCTCAGCTCTCCCGAGGGCAAGGGGGAGAGAGGCCTAAGCAGTAGCCACAGGGCCTGGGGTGGACCCCAGAGAATGCCCGGGCGGGCAAGCCCCACGCAGACCCTCCTGCAGGACAGGCAGCACCGGCGGGGTGGCTGCAGCATGTGCCCGCGGGCGGGCCGGCAGGTGGTCTGAGCGAGTGGAGCCGCCCGCCTGTCTTCTGCAAGCCCCATCGCCGTCTCCTACGGGAAGCCTTCCTCCCCCCCGGCAGGCGTGCTCTTTCCTCTGGACTGGCCTTCGTTCCCATTTTACATTCCGATTTCCCTGCTGGCCTGCGGGCACACATCCCTGACTGCCTGTCCTACGGACTGCCAGCCCTCACTGGGCACCCCGCCTCCCTGGGTGTTCTCGTCTACTCCTCTGACACCGAAAAGCCACAGACTTCTGGGATCTCCGAATTGAAAGGGCAGCTGGTCCATCTCCACAAGCTCTGAACACCCTGCCGTCCCGCGGAGGCTGGTCTTTGCCCAGGACAAGCTCTGAACACCCTGCAGTCGCGCGGAGGCTGGTCCTCGCCCAGGACAAGCTCTGAACACCCTGCAGTCCCGCGGAGGCTGGTCCTTGCCCAGGACAAAGATGCCCAGGACACCAGGGCTCCTTTTCCTTCTACCCCTAACGTGTGCTGGGAACATGGGTCTGTGAGGGGCCCAGCACCCAGTCCGCATCCCTGCCGAGTGGACCCTGCTGCCAGCGTGGCCCCTCCACCCCCCACCAAAGAGACCGGATGGGAGAGGAGCGCCCAGGAGGCTGCAGGGAGACCAGGCCTCCAGCACCGGCCAAGCCGCCCGGGCTGCAGGTAGACACGTGGAGGGGCAGGAGGCACCAGGGGCCCCAGGCAGCTGCTGGGCGGGGGCTGGGGGGGACAGCCCCCTGCCCTGGTCTGCTGCCAAGAGTCCACCCCCGCAGTCCAGGTGGGGGCTGGGGACAGCCGTCCTCACAGCCTCTTCTTCCTCAGCACAGGCACGGGCACCACCTGGAAGATTTTGGCCTTGTGGTCGTCGGTGTCCAGAGTCACCCAGGTGGGCCGGAAGCTGCCTTTGAAGCCAACGAATACCATTTTCTCTGAAAGGCAGGGATGAGCTGCATGAGCAAACACCTGAGACAGCGGTTCCACACCCCCCCAAGGCGCTCACCGCCCCGCCCCCACCCCAGCTACCGCTCCCCAGCTGCTCTGCACTGTCCCCTGGGAAGCACTCTGTGCCCAGCTGCTGACAGTGCCTGACGATTGTGTGGGGACAGGTCTCCGCTGGGCCTCAGCGCCACCTGTGCAGATGACCCCGTGGCCACTGGGGAGTGCCTTCCCTCCCTCTCTGGAGCGCAGTGACCCTGGGGCGGGAGCTGAGGTCCCTGCCTCGACTAGGAGAGCCAGGGTCCGAGTCACCTAGCGCGTCCTTTTCCTCGTCTCTGTGCAAACAACACGCCTGCCCACGGGCTGCTCAGGACGACGGAAGCGGCTCAGCAAGGTGCTGGGCGGAACGCGACAGGGGCTCTGGCGGGCGCGCTCATTACTGTCTGCGGTTTGTCCGTCTCCCTCAGCCTCCTAGGGACCCTCTGGACAGTCTGCTGCTGACGCCACCCTGGCGTTTCTGTCCCCCCGCTGCTTCCCTGGGGTCCAGTCTAGTCCAGGCCTCAGAAGAACGGGTGGCCCTGGCCAGGCCACAGCTCTCCGGGCGCCTGGGGCAGAGGCCGCAGGCTGCGCACGCTGGCCATTGGCTGCGGAGCTGAGGCGGCGCGGGGCCTGGCCAGCCCAGGGAGCGGTGGAACTGGGGCCGTCAGACCAGGCCGCTGTCTGCTGATATTTTGTTGGGGAAGAAGGGCCTCTTGCTGAGCAGACGGCGCACAGCTCTGGTCACTGTCTGAGCCCACGCACAGGGGAGGTCTGGGCGGCACCTCGCCCACCCGGCAGCTGCACTCACCTCTCAGCTTGAGCCCCCTGTCCGCCCCGAGCTTCTCCAGCACGCGAGTCCATGGGCCTCTGGAGACGTACCTTCCCTTCGAAGCCACGAGAACGATGGAGCTGGTGAGAGAGGGGCGGTTCCAGGATGAGAGCAAAGTGGGCGAGGGCCTGGGGAGGGCCGTCCACGGGGGGGCGGGCTAGCAGCGCCAGGGGCCCGGCCAGCGGCTTCCCCTGCGTGCTGTGCTGACCGGCTCTTCCACGTGGTGGCCACGTCCTGAGCACGCCTCCCACACCTCGCTGCACCCTGCTCGGTGTGCTTGCCTCTGTCCCCAGAGAGGCAGAGCAGGGACCGAGCACCCTGCCGGGCAGGCCCTGTGGGGCGGGCATCCTGTCCTGCTGGGAGCGCGGAGAGGGCCTGGGCAACTACGGCTCAAGGAGAGTTAGCCTGTCGTGTGCCTGTCGCTTCCCTTCCTGGTCAGGTAGGACAGCGCTACTGCCCTGGTTTGCAAATGGGGAAACTGAGGCAAAGTTACTAAGGATCTGAGAGGACCTGCCAGCAGGGGGCCCTTGGGGGGGTAGAGGCTGGAGCAGTGGGTGTGCCCAGCAGAAGGTCCCAACTCCAGAAACCCACGTGGGCGCAGGGAGTGTCCACTCGCCTGCCCTGGTGGTGTTCAGGCCACAGTGCTATAGAAACAGCCTCTGTGATGGCAGAGAGCATGCTGTCCCCCAGGAATGGAAACGGCAGAAGCCCCATGGGGCCTCCAGTTCCCATCTCAAAGGAAGCTCACGGACCACAGACCACAGGCCAGACTGGAAACTGGGATCCTGGATCTGTTTTTCCACTCCTCCCGTGCCCCCCTGGGAGCAGGAGGCACCCTGTTAACAGGCAAAGGCTCAGGACAGACGAGGCCGGGAGCATCGGGAACACATCCTCGACTTCGGACCCAGGCTCTGTCCCCGTCACTCCCATTCAGAGGAGCTGAAGTCCCCTTGGCTGGGCTAAGCCTTCCTGCTGGGGAGGACTAACAGGAAGGGTCTGCCTGCGGGCAGGGATCCGGGTTAGCTCCTGGCCGCAGGACAGCAGGACAGGGCTGGTCAGCCCCTGAGGGCGGCACACTCCTGCCCGGGCCCCTGGCCCCTGGCCCCTGCCCGCAGCAGGGAGTCGCCCTCCGGGCGGCAGCCCCGAGAAGCAAGGTCCGAGCAGCTGCCTCTCCTTCCCCGGGGCCCTGGTGCCGTGGTGGCCCCTGGACGGGGCGGGCAGGGCAGGCCCGGGCCAGGACTACCAGGAGCAGCAGCGGCTGACAGCACGGGGGGAGTGTGGCAAGAGGGGAAAGAGACAGAGGAGGTGCCAGCTGTGTGGGTGGCAGTGACGATGTCACCGACACAGGGAGGCCAGGAAGACTGCCGCTTTGGGGGAGCACACAAAAACGCCTGGCGTGTGGCTCCTGGACTGAGTGGCGGCCCAGGGACCGAGAGGGCCCGGTTCGATCCCGTCGGGGCACATGCCCGGGTTGTGGGCTCGATCCCCAGGAGGGGGCGTGCAGGAGGCGTCAATTGATTTCTCTCTCACACTGATGTTTCTGTTTCCCTTCCTCTCTAAAAAATCAATAAAAACATATTTAAAAATAAAAAATAAACGAAAAACCAGTTCCACAGGAGACCTCTAGGTGGCGTCTCCAGGCAGCCATTGGGGGGCCTGCCTTCAGGAGAGCTCTGGGCTGGAGGCGCTGAGACCGCTGGCATCTGGATGGAATTAGCCGAGTGGGAGGGATGAGGTCACGCCGGGAGGCTGCCATGCCGGGGGCGAGGGCCAGGGCAGGCTTCCCACTGGTAACCGGGTAGCGGCTGCCTGGGCCTGACCTACATTCACAGGCCCTGGCCCCAGCAGGGGCTCCCAGCCCCCACCGTGGCCCCCCCAGGCGGCACCGGGAGGAAGGCGGCCCGGACCCACCCGTCAGGGATGGCCGCCACGTGGTTGAAGAGCTGCCACGGGATGCCCTGCAGGATGGCGCTCCGGAAGCTCGCGTGGCTCAGCACCCGCCCCCGGCTGCCGTCAATCACCACCACCTGGACGCCGTCCTCCGAGCTGGGGTACCTCTTGCCGTCCACCTGCCGACCAGAGCCACAGGGGAGTGAGGCGGGCGGGTCCCCTGCAGCCTGCACTCAGGCTGCCCACACAGCTCAGAACAGGACCCACGGGAACCAGCTGCTTAGCCTCCTGCTGTGGGCCGACTGCACCCCCGAAGGTACGTCCGCCCGGCGCCTGTGGGGGACTGAGGTGGCACAGGTCTTTGCAGACGTGATCAGGATCCCGAGGCGAGATCGTCCAGGATTTAGGGTGAGCCCACATCCAGTGACTACTGTCCTTATGAGAGGCGGGGGTCGTGTGAGACTGGGCCCAGGGGAGAGGGCCAGGTGAAGACAGGCAGAGGCTGCAGGGGCACCATGGACGGCGGCCGCCCCAGGAGCGAGCGCAGGCGAACCGCCTCCCCCGCAGCCTCCCGGAGGGACCACCTTGCCAGCACCTGCTGTGGACGTCCCACCTCCAGAACCGAGAGGACACACGTCTGCTGTTTTCACCCACCCAGCCTGTGAGGACACCCCGAGGAGACACTGCCCCTGCCGGGGCCCCAGCTCACTGCAGGCCGGTCCCTTACCACCCAGCCTGTGAGGACACCCCGAGGAGACACTGCCCCTGCCGGGGCCCCAGCTCACTGCAGGGCCTGGTCCCTTACCACCCAGCCTGTGAGGACACCCCGAGGAGACACACCGCCCCCTGCAGGGGCCCCAGCTCACTGCAGGGCCTGGTCCCTTATCACCCAGCCTGTGACGACACCCCGAGGAGACACTGCCCCTGCCGGGGCCCCAGCTCACTGCAGGGCCTGGTCCCTTATCACCCAGCCTGTGAGGACACCCCGAGGAGACACTGCCCCTGCCGGGGCCCCAGCTCACTGCAGGGCCTGGTCCCTTATCACCCAGCCTGTGACGACACCCCGAGGAGACACCGCCCCCTGCAGGGGCCCCAGCTGACTGCAGGCCGGTCCCTTACCACCCAGCCTGTGAGGACACCCCGAGGAGACACACCGCCCCCTGCAGGGGCCCCAGCTCACTGCAGGGCCTGGTTCCTTATCACCCAGCCTGTGAGGACACCCCGAGGAGACACTGCCCCTGCCGGGGCCCCAGCTCACTGCAGGGCCTGGTCCCTTATCACCCAGCCTGTGAGGACACCCCGAGGAGACGCCGGCCCTGCCGGGGCCCCAGCTCACTGCAGGGCCTGGTTCCTTACCACCCAGCCTGTGACGACACCCCGAGGAGACACCGCCCCCTCTTGGGGCCCCATCTCACTGCAGGGCCTGGTCCCTTACCACCCAGCCTGTGAGGACACCCCGAGGAGACGCTGGCCCTCACCTCGATGTAAGCCAGGTCGTTGAGAAGGTGGAAGAAGCGCTGCTTGGAGCTTTCCATCTTCACCTCCAGGAAGTGGTCCTTTGTCTTCTGGGGAACAAGCAGTCGCGTGGTTGTTAGCTCCAGTTACAGCCCAGCGAGTGGCCGGGACGTCCTCTGCCCCCCACAGGAAGGTGCCGGGGAGCTCAGCAGGTGTCCCCAGAAGACCCTGGTGGTGTCTGGGCCCCACTGAAGGCACAGGGGCGGGCTTGCCGCCTGCACTCACCAGCTGAGCGCCAACCAGCTTCCGGGGCATCGGCACATCCACGGTGGCCCTCTCCGCAAACCTGGGGTAGGCGGTGGCGGTGCAGTCGCTGACGCCCGCGTTCTTGGGGATCAGAGCTTTAATCCTGATTCTCTCACAGCCCCTCACGGAGCAGAAGGCGAACTTCTCCCTCTCATTCTGGGCCTTCAGCCTCAGGAACAGCAGCCTGCGGGGGGCAGAGGGCGCGGTCAGCACCACCTCAGGGCCGCGCTCCTGGCGCCCCGCTCCTGACGCCCCGCACCTGGCACCCCGCTCCTGATGGCCCCGCTCCTGATGGCCCCGCTCCTGATGGCCCCGCTCCTGACGCCCTGCACCTGATGGCCCTGCACCTGATGCCCCGCTCCTGACGCCCTGCACCTGATGGCCCTGCACCTGATGCCCCGCACCTGAACAGGACACTGGTTTATGAGTCAGCACCGCTCGCTCTGGGGCCCCTGCAAACCCTCACCCAGAACACACGAAAACACTCCAGCGCCTAGTAACCTGGGACAACAGGCACGTTCAGAGTGTGAAACGTGTGTGGACCCTCCGTGTCGGCCTATTTACTTTTCCTCTGCCCCCAGGCGTGTGACTGGGTTACCCAGTGTCCCGGCTGACAGCAGCAGAGAAGGCAGGTGCCCTGAACCTGAGAGAGAACCACGGACTGATAAGCCACAGAGACAGTTACGAAGAGCCCAAGGGTTAAGAAGGCCCCGAGTCTGTGCCCCAGCCGCAGCCGGAGGGCACCGCTGGGTAGAGCCCAGCACAGCCGGGCTGGAGATGAGCCCGCAGGACGTGCTCAGTGGCCGGGGAAGGCACGGGGCAGGGGTAGTCTCCTCCGGGACGGCGCTGGGAAACGGGACCACCTCGCACCACTCACGAGAATAAACCCAGAACAGACTCAGCACTTGACACGCAGCACCTGACGCCACCACACAGAGAACAGAGGCGGCGAGCGCTCTGGCGTTGCTCTTAGCAGAGCTGCTTTGGGGTATGTCGTCTTGTGCAAGGGAAACAAAAATCATAAACCCACGGGACGACATCAAACAGAAAAGTTTTTTTGCACAGTGAAAGAAACCCCAAAAAATGAAAAGAAACCCTGAATGGGAGAAGCTATTCACCAGTGACACTTGCCACAAGGGCTAACACCTAAAATACATAAAGGACTCCTACAACTTAATACCAAAGAAACAAACACGCTGACTGCCAAATGGGCAGAGGACCTGAGTAAACACTTCTTCAAAGAGGACAGACAGATGGCCAATAGACGTGAAAAAATGCTCAACATCACTAATCGTCAGAGATGGAAGTTAAAGCCACGATGAGAGCCTGCCCCACACCTGTCAATAAGTCAACACACAGCAAGTGTGGAGGGTGGGGAAAAGGGACCCTCGTGCACCGGTGGTGGGAATGCAGACGGGCAGCCACTGTGGAAGACAGTATGGCGGTTCCGCAAACAACGGAGGATGGAGCCGCGTGTGACGCGCAATCCTCTTGTGGGTACGGACCGGAAGAAGCCCGGCACTGATGTGGGAAGAGAGAGGCACCCCCGGGCTCACGGTGGCGCTGTGCACAGTAGCCAAGACCTGGAAGCAGCCTGTGCAGGGAAGATGCGGATTGTGTGTGCGAGGGAATGTGACTCGGCCATGAGAAGGAAGGGAATCTTGCCACTTGTGACCTGGATGGACCTGGAAGGCAGTATGTGAACTGAGATAAGTCAGAGACACCCTATGATCTCACTCATGTGTGGAACCTAAAAAACGAAAGAAATGAATAAATAAAACAGAAACAGACTTAGACATACAGGAACAAATTGATGGTTGCCAGAGGGGAGGGGTTTGGGGGACTGGGTGAGGAAGGTCCAGGGACGGAGACGCATCGACTGGCAGTTACAGAACAGCCTTCGGGCTGTGGAGTGCAGCACAGGGAACATAATCAATAACATCGCGATACCTGCACCGGGACAGACGGTTACTAGAGTTACCAGAGTGATCGCTTCATAAGGTACATAAATGTCCAATCTCTATGTTGTACGCCAGAAACTAATATAATACTTAATGTCAACTGTAATGGAAAAAATGTATTTGAAAAGCACAGCATAATCGTCAGGCAGCATATAAGTTAAGCCACCAACAAAAAGGCTGAATTGTTCAACAAAATCTGCTTCGAGGTACCGGGACCCCTTGCCGGTTCCATGTTCTGATCAGAGGGCCTGCCTGTGCGGTGCCGCTTTGCGTCCGGAAAGTCTGCATCTCTGGGACATGATTTTACAAGAAGAGAAAATGTGACCGACGGCGCCAGGGGAACGCGACTGCTCGGCTGATGTTCTTTAGTCCTAACACCTTCCACTGGGTAGGAGGGACACTGAATTCCTCCTTCATCTCCGAGGACTTTCCTTCACGCTCCAGGCCCGTCCCCGCACTTCTCCCCGGGGGAGGGGCGCCCCACTTGGCAGGTGGGTGTGGGTGTCAACAGGCCCACTCATGGGGGGCACTGTCTGCTCCTCTGCACCTACGTCGTGGGGTGGGACTCCGTGTGGGAGCCTGTGTAGGTTCCGTGCCCCTGGGCGGGGGCACACGGGGGCAGCGAGGGAGCCTGTGTAGGTTCCGTGCCCCTGGGCGGGGGCACACGGGGACAGCGAGGGAGCCTGTGTAGGTTCCATGCCCCTGGGCGGGCACAGGGGGGCAGTGAGGGAGCTCTGTCCCCCCACAGCCCTGTCGGTGGGGAGACTGTGGCCCCGCTTCACCTGCGGGCTGGTTTACAACGTGTGGGAAAGGGGTGCTCTCTAGGGCCCCCGACCCCAGCTTCTCATTCTTAAATTCTAATCTCCTGTCATCAAACTGATATCTCATAACAGGAAGAGAGCACTTCCTCCTCCTGAGGACATTGCAAGGGTGGAAAACGGCCACGCGGTGACCCCCGCACTCCCAGGGGCGGCCGTCCACAGTGCCATCGCCATCACCGTGGGGAGGCGCTGCTGTCCTTAGATGTCAGGCTCTCGCCCTGGCTGGTCTGGCTCAGTGGTCAGAGGAAGGCCCGTGGTCCAAACAGTCCGGGTTAGACTCTGGTCAAGGGCATGTACCTTGGTTGCATTTTGTCCCTGGCTGGTCAGGGTCGTGCAGGAGGCAGCCGGTCAAGGTGTCTCTCTCACGTGGATGTCTCTCTCCCTCTCTCCCCTCCCTTCTCCCTCCCACTCTGTCTGAAGGTAAATGGAGGAATATCCAAGGGTGAGGGTTAAAGAAAAAGAAGATGTTAGGCCCTCTGCAGGGGAGGGGCCCGAACAGCTCCCCCGTCTCCCCCTCATCTCTCTCTTGATCGCACCCCGTGCCGCTCAGCACAGGGTGAGGGCCTCGAACACAGATGTCTCGCTCCACACACAGCACCAGCAGCCTCCGCACACCCCGCCCGACAGGCCCTGCACTGACCGGCCCCCACGGCAGGCGGCTCTCGGGGTGCTGCACAGGCCGCGGGAGGAAGTGAGGACGCGGCCACGCGGCTCCTACCCTGAGGCCTCGTCCCAGTAGTAGTGGCTCCGGCCAGGGACGCTCTGCTGCACCTTGTCCATCTGCAGGGTCCTCACGAAGGTGCCCGTCTTGGACGTCTGCTTCAGCAGACGGTTGTGGACATCCGAGAGGATGGAGAAGCTGGTGCCTCGCGGGTAGCAGAGCCCCACGCGGATCCAGTCGCCCCTAGAAGCCAGGGCACAGTGGGTCACAAGCCGGGGGAGGGACCAGGACCCCCGGCGGGCTCGGCCCTGCCTGTGCCGGGGATGCTCCAAGAACACTTGCCGCTGGTGGTGCAAAGTGTTCGAGGAGAGGGCAGGACACTGCCGGGGCCCCTTGGGCTTCTGCAGGGTCTGCGTGGGGAGCTCCCCTCGGAACTCTGGCTGGAAAGAGATCTTCTTTCCTGGATGTCAGCTCAGTCTGCAGGACCCGGGTCAGCCCCTTCCTGGCCGCTGACTGCAGGCCCGTGTCACGCCTTCTGCGTCATGTTTTCCCATCTGATAAACATCTGCCTCACAGGAATACTGGGCATAGAAAATACTCAACCGCCAAGACACATGTGAAGCTCTATCCAGGTCAATCTCAACCCCACAGAAGCTCCTCCCCTCTTGAAAAATGGTAACATTGTCGCAGATACTTTTGGGCCTTGTATTGAGCACAGTGGAAGGCCGGGTCCTGGGCGAGGTGCCTGCCTAAGTGACCGCACTGCACCCCGGTGTGGTGTCACTATCCCCCTCTCCTAGACGAAGGGACCGAGGCTCCAAGGGGTCACCCGCACCCAAGCGGGGCTCAGTCGGGTCTTCAGGGTCTGAAGCACTGGGTGAGTCCCCCCTGCAGGTGCTCCTCCTGCAAGGGGGACTCACCAGCCTGAGGTGCCGCGGCCTCACCAGCGCTCAGAGCTCCGGGCCCCACTCACTTGTTGAAGTTGATGAGCCAGATGGCGAGCTCGGGGGGGGCCGTGTGGTTCCAGTGGATGGTGTAGCCCTTGTGCAGGGTGATGACTGGCTGGTACTGCTGGTAGTGGGTGCTCCTGGTCAGCGCCCCCTCCAGGAACAGAGGGTGGCTGGGGAAGTCGTTCTTGATGATCTTCATCCGCAGGTTACTGGTCTTGTAGGCCTGGATGTACATCTTCAAAACCCAAAAAGGAAGCACACAGCGGGGCAGTTACAAGGAAAGATTCCAGGAGCGTCTGGTTAGCATGCGGCTCAGACCCACTGTCAAGGGCACGTCCTCTGAAGGGGCCTTCTGAGGGCACAGCCGGAAGGCCCAACAGGGCGCGGCTCTGCTCAGCGCGCCCCGCGGCGCCCTGCGCTCCCTCGGAAAGCGGAGTCCCGGAGACCCCGGGGGAGGGCGGGTGGTGGGTTTCACAGGCTGAGAGCAGGGAGCAGGGACGCAGAGACACCTGCAGGTTTAGCTGAGGTGCTTCGAGTGCACTGAGCTAGAAGAACCGCGTCGCTGAGACCGGTTTCCCGCCCCCCTTTCTCAGGGGCACGGCTCGCGCTGCACCTTCGGGGGACCGGGCCGGCGACACGTTTCACACGCCGTATGTGAACCCCCGCAATCTCATTCAGGGGACTCAACCATCACCCCGACTCTACAGATGAGGAAACCGAGGCTCCAGAACCGGAGTGACTCGCCCAAGGCCATGCTGTGAGGAGGGCTGGAGCCGGCCCCGGCCCCCGGCCCCCGGAGCGCTCTTCGCGCGCATTCTGCCTACAAAGCTTTTCCACGCTGAGGTTTTGTTGTTTTGATTTGTTTTGTTTGTCAATCCTCACCCGGGGATAATTTCCCATTGATTTTTTAGGTAGAATGGAAGGGAGGGAGGGAGGAAGGGAGGGAGGGAGGGAGAAAAACATCAGTGTGAGAGACACATTGACCGGTTGCCTCCCACATGACCCTAACCGGGGCCGGAGATCAAACCTGCAGCCCAGGTTCCTGCCCTTGACTAGAATTGAGCCCATGACCCTTCAGTCTCTAACCACTGAGCAACACCGGCCAGGACCACTGAGATTTTAAAAAATTCTCCTGGGTGAGGAGGAGAAGTAGAAAGAAGGAAAGGAGGGAGGGAGGGAGGGAGGGAGGGAGGGAGGGAGGGAGGGAGGGAGGGAGGGAGGGTCCTTCGGGGCTGGCACAGAGCACAGAGCACAGAGCACAGGGCCTGGCCTGCAGCAGGCCCTCACTCAATGCTCACCCCCGAGGGAGCAACCAGAGGCGACCAGGAAGGTGTGCTTTGCCCCCACCTGTGCGTAGCGTCCACTGCAGATGGCCCCTCTCCAGTCGGGGACGTCGATGCAGTCAGGGTGCCGGACCAGCCAGTTGTCAGCCTTGGTGAGGTAGGAGCCAGGGTACTCGGACACGGAGCCGTCCACATCGTGGAACACCGACGTCTTGTCCCCATCCATGTCCAACTGGTTGAACCAGGGCCCGGGCTCCCCGAAGAACACCCTGGAAGTAATCTAAACACAGCCCGGGAAAGTCAGGAGGTGAAGGGAGACTACGGCCATCATCAGGCCGGGGCAGTTTCAGATTCCGGGGACATGACACCCCAGCCGAAGCAGAGATGCTCGTGGGCGCCGGGGAAACCACAGCTGACCTTGCAGACGAGGCCCGAGAAATGCCAGCCCCTCCCTGCGCACCAGCTCCCACACCCTGTGGGGTATTTTGGCCTCTGCTCATGGGAGGGTCGGCTGCTGTGGGTGACCTGGCCTCAGGCTTGCCAGGCTGCAGAGGTGCGCAGGGCACACGGCAGTGAGCGTGTGTGTGTGTGTGTGTGTGACACAGGGGTTGGTGCAGGTCCGCGTGAGGGCGTGTGCACACACGGGAGGGGCATGGTGAGTGTGTGTGTGTGAATGACACAGGTGTTGGTGCAGGTCCGCGTGAGGGCGTGTGCACACACGTGGGGAGGGGTATGGTGAGTGTGTGTGTTACAGGAAGAGTCTTTCCACACGGGCCTGGAGATGTCCGTGACTGGCCTTTTTCAAGCCCTGTGGCCTGAGCAAGGAAATTAGGTAACTTCAAGTTCACATCTTCTCCCCGGGAACTGGGCAGACAGAGGGCGGGGCAGAGGGAGGAGGAGGAAAGGCCTGGAAATCTGTAACCCAGGACGGAAACACACCAGGGGCCTGGCCCTGCCCAGTCTCCGGGCAGCGGCCCTGCTCTCCCACCCCAGCCCTGCCTGCCGCGGTCTGTGTGCTGCTCCCAGGGAGAGGCGGACAAGCATCTTCAGCAAAGATTCCCTCACACACTGCAGCTTCTTCAATTAATTGTGCCAGCTCAGGTGGCCCAGTCACGAGACTCAGAGGTCCAGAGCTCGAGCACGGGAGGAACAGCCTCGGACCCTGGAGCCCCGCGTACGGCTCCCTGAGGCCCGGGCGGGCTTGGCGCAGGGTGAGGGCAAGGGGCACCCGGTGCAGCCTGACCTGCGGGCACCCAGCTCGTACTTTTCCAGTCTGGATGCGGACAGAGCTGGGAGGTGGCCCAGTGTGCTCGGAGGAGGCTGTGCAAACCCTGTGGTGGTGGCAACAGCTCAAGGCCGGCCCCAGGGACCCGTGACTCACTGCCTGGATCTGGGCTGGCGGGAGCCGGCCGGTCTCACTCACCGGGACGTCCTCAAAGGCAATGTCGGACACGTTGTTGTGGGGGCAGCTCTGCCAGGCGTTGTTCAGACGGAAGGCCAGGGCGCTGGTGTGCCGGCCCTCCAGGGCCACGAACTTGCGGAACGTGCAGCTCTGGATGTTGATGGGGCCATCGTAGATCTGAATGCCCCGGACCGGGAAGTTCCTGCAGCCAGGGAAGTCGAGGGTCAGCGAGCCGCTCAGTGTGCCCCCCGAGGTGGACGGCGACAGAAACCTCCTGGGCGAACGATTCCTGCCCTCAGCAACTCACCCTCCACACAACACTGTTGACTCACCAGTTCGCGGGGAAAGCATTAATGAACATAGTAAATGTCAATAAATGGTGGCTGGACGATGGATGGATGGATGGATGGATGGATGGATGGACGGATGGACAGATAGATGATGGATGATGGATGAAGGATGGATAGATGATGGATGGATGATGGATGGATGGATGAAGGATGGATGGATGATGGATGGATGAATGAATGGATGGATGTATGGACAATGATTGGATGATGGATGGATAGAGATGGATGGGTGGATGGGTGGAGAGATGAATATCTGTCTAGTTGCTGGGTTAGGGTTTTGGGAATCTATTGCAAACCAATTCCCCAATTTTTCCGTCCCATGAAGAGTCACTGGGTAAATGCCATGACTTCTGCTGGCGAGTGCCAACACTGTGTCCCTTGGGAAGGGAGTCGTTAGTCATTATCATCTTCGTCGTAGTTGCTGTAACAATTTATTCAGATCAAGACTCGAGTGAGTATCCTGCCTGTGAGTAAGCCTTTCGACCGGGAGCTTGCTGGACTTGGGAACAGGGGGAAGGGAGCAGGACCGTGGACTGCTGGGGCACCCCCAGGAGGCCCGCACCCCGGAGGCAGGAGAGGCACAGCTTGGTATGGAGGGAGGGGACTGAAGTAGGACCCTGACTTGGAATTTTTTTTTTTTTATTCCTTACCGAGGATATTTTTCTATTTATCTTCAGATAGGGAGGGAGGGAGGGAGAGAGAGGGGGAGAGAGAGAAACATCGACATGAGAGGGACACATCAACGGGCTGCCTCCTGCACAACCCCAACCAAGGCTGGGGACGAACCGCAACCGAGGTGCGTGCCCTTGACTGGAACTGAACCCACAACTCATTGGTCCACAGGCCGGCGCTCTAACCACTGAGAAAACCGGCCAGGGCGACCCTCCTCCATCTGCCTGGGGCTTCTGAGCAGGGTGTGGGAGGCAAGGGCCTGAGAAGGACTTCCTGGTCCTGGTCCTGGTCCCGGTCCCGGTCCCGAATCTGGGCTTGCTCAACTCCCAGTTCTCCAAGCCCAGTCTTCCTGGTCTTCCTGGTACCTCTGCCTCTGGGCGGGCCCTCTCCTTCCCCAGCGAACAGGAGAAAGGGCGGAAAGACGAGAATGCAGAAACGTCTGTCTGTGCGGAGAAGCCGCACCCCGGCCCCGCCCAGCCGTCACACTGGGCCTCCAGCCTGGGCGGCGTCTCCAGGGCCACCGGGTCCTCCAGCACTCCTGCGCTGCTCTGTTGGCCGCCGCGGACCTCAGGGCCTTGACCCTGACTGCTGTGGGGCCCACGTGCCCTCTGTCCACGGCCCTTCCAGGACGGCACGTTCTCCCGGCCCTGCAGCCAGACTTCAGGCCTCAGCCCGCGGGCCCGGCTCTGGCTCGCGAGGGCAGCCGAGGGCCTGGCCCGAGCGTGGCCGAGTGAACAAACGCACCTCTGGAAATCCTCAGAGCACTCGGCCTGGGGGGCGGCCACCCCCCCCCCCCCCCCGCAAAGAGAGCCTGGCCGACAGGCTGCTCGTGGGAGCGGCGCAGGGACCTCGCCCCGCTGGGAGCACAGAGCCGGGCCCTCCGCAGCACACCGAGACCGTGGTCCTGTCTGCAGCCTCTGGAAGACGTGCGCTCGGGGTGAGGTCAGGCCTGAGCCGCACCAGCCAGGGCAGGAAGGACCCTCTTCTAAAGAGAAGACAGCTCAGGGGCAGGAAGGGCTGGTCTCAGAGGGCAGGGCCACGTGCTGAGGGCCGGTTCACGTCAACGCGGAAGCCCCTCGAGGGCACAGACTTCCTCACCACTGACCCGGGCCACTGCTCTGTTAGCCGGTCAGCTCTCTGGTCCCCCCGCCCCCACCCCGCCGGGTGGCCTCGGGCTGTGACCTCTTCAGGCCGCCCTGCTGCTCTGCCGTGAGCCAGTCCGACTGCTGGAAGGGCCCCTCAGGCCCCCAGTGCGTCTTGTGTGCGCGGCGGCCCTGAGGCATCTCCCCAAGTGGGATCACTGCTGGTGCAGGTCTGGATCTGCCTGTGACACGCTTGGGCCGGTGACCCCCAGGTCTCCCACGTGTGTCTGGGGCCTGACTCTCCACCTCCTGGGGAGGCGTGAACTGCTCCCATGGGGTGTCTCAGAGACCCTGCCGTGAAATCCTGCCGACGTAGGCAGAGCCACACCGCACACTGGTGGCCAGCAGCTCTGACCTCCCCCGCTCTGGAGTCCACCCTGCTGCTGCCCCCCCACCCCCACTGTCTCCGTGGGCAGAGGGGGGCCCCGCCGACAGGCAGGAACCACAGCCGGGCACTGCCCCTCCCCGGCCAGCACTCAGGCTACGTCCCACAGAACAAGGAGGCTGCATGGCCGCAAACCTACTGGCCCATGGGGAGGGTCCTTCCGCTGTGGTCCAGGCCGCCAGGGCCCCAGCTCCTGTTGTCGGTCATCTCGGTCCCCACGTTGCCGCTCTCGCCCACAAACAGGCTGTTCTTCACCTCCTGCTTGGAGCCGTCGTCGTAGGGGAAGGTCCCACCACTGTCGGGAGAGGAGGTCGGGGGTGAGAGGGCAGAGACCGCCGCCCACAGAGGGCCGCACGGGGACGGGGACTCTTACCTGGCCAGCGTCAGGCCGATGCCGTTGTCAGCAAACCTGGGGACGAGGGCAGACAGTCAGAGCGGGCTCTCCCGCAGGGCAGGGTCGGGAAGGCCCTTGGCGCCCCAGCCCTGCTGGCTGGCCGGTGTCGGGGGGAGTCTCTCCTGAGCACAGGGTTCGCTGCGGGAGCCGGGACAGTCCGACTCCAGAGAGGAAGGGGACCGCCGTGTCTTGGTGTCTCCTGTCCCCTGCGTCAGCACGGTGAAGACTGGGCTCCCCGGCCTCCGCCCCAGCCACCCTCCCTGGGGATGCCGGGGCTCCGTGGGGGGGCTCGCTACTCGGCCAGCTCTCCCCACTCCCATCACTGACACCCCGCCGTGCCCCACCCAGGCCTCTCACTCCCCTGTGTCCCGGGGCCTCAGACACCCCAGCTCCCAGCCCCACGGGTCTGCTTTCCAGCCTCTGGGCTGTTTCCACGGGGCAACCTCACATCATCGCGCCTCAGGCCCTTGAGCTGAACAAAACCAGACACTTCTCGCCATCTGAGCCTGGCACCGCCCGAAGCTGGGTCTCAGCCAGCTCCCACTGGACACTGGACACTGTAGTGGCTCCAAGGTGTCCCTCCCACACGGGCCCCTCTCCCTGCGCGTGCCCAGCGGTCGCTGCTGTGATCTGTCTGCGAGGGACACAGGCCACATGCTCGAAGCTCTTGCAGGAGCCCGTCTGCTGCCAACACTGTGCCAACACTGTGCCTCGTGGGGCAGCGGCCTCGGTGCCTCCGGACTCTGGGCCACCCTAGGCCGGAGTCCGGGGGAGCCTGGGCCACCCTAGGCCGGAGTCCAGGGGAGCTAGCAGGCCCCCCACTGGCAGGGGGTTCGCGGTGCGTCTCTGGGGACCCGGACTGGCAGCACACCAGGCCGAGGTCAGCCCTGGACCTGGGACACCGCGGGGAATTTTAGCACGGACACCTCGAGCATAGTCATCTCTCAAGTGTCCGTGGGCCTGTTCCAGGGGTAAGCAGCTCATCCCACCACGTGTGGAACTGCAGGGAAGTCTTCCTGCCACGGAGCTGAACAGGCCCCGTGCCCGTGCCCCCGCCCTCCAGGGCCCATCGGGACACGCCTGCCTCCGCTCCCACAGATGCCCCTCGGAACCCGGAGCCGGCCCTCGCCTCAAGGCCTCGGCTTCCTGCCCCAGGAGGCTTCTCCTGGCATCTGCCTGTCCCCGAGTCAGTGCCTGGCCGTCTGTCTCTCCCGGGCTCTGCTGTTCCGAGCAGCCTTTCTGTCTGGATCCTGTGCCTTCTCCCTCCTCGGACGCGCTCACTTCCTCTCGCTCCCTTTGCCCTGTTCTCCTGAGCGGTCACGATCAAACGCGGAAGCACCTCCTTTCCCGGCAGACTTCCCGGGGCACTGCTGCAGGGCTCGTCCCAGCTCAGCCGCCTGTCCCTGCAGGTGCTCCTGCCCGGGCCGGTGGCTCTGCAGGGGACCCGACGCCGCAGCTCACCCCTCCTGCAGGTAAGTCGTGACCCGCAGCCCCGCGGCTGAGACTGCTTGCCGGGTGCCGGGTCCCTGCCTGCGGCCCTTCTGTGCCCGTGCCTGGCCGGGGACCTCTCCGCCACGCGCTGCTCGGTCTGCCAGGGCAGGAGCGCCGTCCGCACCGTGCGCCGCCGCCACGGCCACTCACCGGCAGTGGTCCAGCCACACGTCGCCGCCGCGCAGCCAGGCCCCGTGCTCCTGGTTCTTGTAGGCGGTGAAGTGTCTGATGACGGCCGGCACGCGGGGCTTCAGCGGGTCGGCATCCTGGTGAGGGCTGTACCTGCAACGCAGCGGGCCCAGCGGCCGTGAGGGCTCCTGAATGGACCCCTCCTCGGCTGTGTGTCTCCTTGCCCACGCTGCCCACAGACTCTGACGGAACAGCCTCTCACTCCCATCGGCTGGGCTCAGGAACGAACTGTTGAAGGGCCCGGGCCCGGCCCCACGCAGCTGACTGCTGCGTCCCTTCTCTTGTCCACCAGCAGCTCTGAGGGACACCCCGCCCCAGGCTGGTCAGAGCTCGGGACGGTCAGACAGCCCCAACCCGGCACGCGATACAGGCACAGGGCGAGGAAGGAGGTGCCGCTCTCCGCCGACGGGGGTGCCTTGACCCAGGGCCTCATCCGGCCTTGGCTTCTCGGCCGTGAAGAGGGCGTGGAGCCCCGATGCTCACTGGTGTGCCCGCCAGCACTGCCTCCTGAGACAGCATCTCGTCACTGTGGCCTCACACGGAGACCAGGCGGCTTGGCCTCCTCAAAGGCCCAGCTCCCCTGATGACCCGCAGGGTGAGCAGTGACCGGCCGTGGCTGAGCGCCCGGCTCATGCGGCCTGCCCGTTCCCGCCTTCAGGCGGACGGCGCAGCTCCCTCCTCTTCCTTCCACGTTCCCAGCCCAGCCAGCCGGCGGTGGCCCTGGACGGCCTTGTGGACTTACCAGGTACGGGCCTTGCTGAACCCTGACTCCCGCCTGACGCGGAACCCACACTGGGCCCTGTCCAGAGTTTCTCCCCGGCTCCCAGCAAGTAGCTCAGCGTGCAGGACAGAGAAAGCGCTCAACAGACACCCAACGAACGAACGAATGAACGAACGAACGAGTGGAAGGGGGCTTACTTGAGGGCCCCGGGCTGATTACCTGGCAGAGATGATAGCGAGGAAGGGCCGCTTGTCCTTGGCGGAGGCCTCCGTGGTTTTGACGCCATTGTCTATGATCATGCCGGCCTGTGGGCGCAGACAGGGAGTGCTGGCTTGCAGTGCAGCTGCGCCCCCTCACACCCAGCCTCCTGCCCAGCTCTGCCCCGGGACGCGTGGGAGCAGGTCTGCGGGGAGGGAGGTGACCTCCTGCCCAGCTCTGCCCCGGGACGCGCGCGGGAGCAGGTCTGCGGGGAGGGAGGTGACCTCCCTGCTCAGGTCAGATCTTGTCCGGGCCCCTCAGCTACGTGCACGCCCCGCACTCACTCTGCCCTCGGACCCGAGTCAAGGATGATGACTGTTCTTTCCGGAAAACGTGTCCTGAACACAAGCCTCGCCTGGACCTGGGGCAGAGTCTGTGGCCCTCCCAGTCCTGTCTCGATCCCGCCTGCCTGGGGAGACAACCTCCCCCTTCTGGCTCCAAAGGGGCCCTCTGTCAGCCAGGGAGTGGGAGTCAGGGCAGCTGAGTGCTGCAGCCCAGGGAGGCCGCCCCTTCCTTCTGGGTTTGCTCGGCCTCTTAGGAAGGCCAGACTCGGGGTTCTTACTTAGACCCCTGGAGGTCATCTGGCCACTGCATCCCTAAGGAGCCGACTCCTGCGGAGCCTGGAGGTGTGAGCGGATGTGGGCTGGGCCCTGGCTGGGCCCTGGCCCCTCTCTCAGGAGCTGCCTTTAGTCTCTGCCCGGCTCAGGCCTCTGGGAGCTCGGAGAGGGGGGCCGACGGCACCTAGTGCCCAGACTGCCGAGAGCCATGGCTGTGGGGGCCCGGGCGAGCAGCCCCACACCGGACCCTACGCAGTGCGTGCGGAGCTGGGCCCGCCGAGTGTGAACCCCAGGCACGGGGCCTCCTCTGCTCAGACACCCCACCCACCCACTGCAGGCTCCCCCTCCCTATGCCACCTGCTGCCTTCCTCGGGGACCACCCTCCACCTGTGCCCTGGCCCCGCCTACTCCTGCGGGAAACCCGGTCCCCACGTATCCTCACCTGTTCCAACCTCTCCAGACATGCAGGTCCCACACGGGTCACCACCCCCTTCACGGGAAGGTCCTCAAGGGGTCTCACGAGCAGCCAGGACATTCCCTCCCCGCCCACCCCCAGCCGTATGGCTGGTTCTGCTCTGCACGGAGACAGCTCCCCACAGCCCCGGGGACCTGTGCTCATTCTCCAGGTCAGGGGCCTCCTGGCCGCTGTCCTCTGCCCCATGAGCTCCCTTCTTAGCTTCCAGGACATCGCCCCGCCCGCGTCCCCTCTCTGCCCACCCTGCCCCGCCCGCTGCACGGGCCAACCCCTCGTGTAAGTGGGGTCACTCAGGATCTCTCTCTCCTTTTCGGTCTGCTCCCTTGTTGATCCTTGTTTTGTTTCGACCCTGGACCTGTCAGTCCTCCGGGGCCTCAGGGGCCTCGTCCGCACCAGTAGGAACTGGGCCAGAGGCCCGGCCCTGACATCGGGGCTCCAGGCGCGCACGCTGGCCCCGCGGCCCAGCCCCCGGCCCAGCCCCGCGTCCCAGCCCCGGCCCAGCCCGGCCTGCATCTGCGGAGACTCACTCGGTAGTTGGAGTGTGCCCGGTTGTTGTGGAACCTCCCCAGGGGGATGTGCTCCGAGTAGCCGGGGGAGTACTTCCCTTCCGAGGGGCCTGTCGGCACGTGGTGGAAAATGAACCAAAATCCGGTTTCCTGTTGGGGAGGAAGCAGGGGAGCACAGGACTCAGCACCCGCCAGCTTCGCACTGGGGTGCCGCGTGGCCCCCAAGCCCAGCTCTGGCAGCAGCGAGAAGCCTGAGGCCGCCGCGCTGTGCGTCCACCTGACGTCAACAACGCCCCGCAGGCCGCTGTCGGCCACGGCCCAGGCTGGGCTTCAGCGTCATCTCCGGGCACATGACGGGGGGATTTCGCGAGTGTTCTCGGCTCCCCTCTTCCATTCCACAGAACGGAGCTGGGCCCCGGGATCGCACCTGCCCTGCCCAGGGTCCCTGGGGTGAGCGGTGGAGGGGCGAGAGCGAGGCGTGTCTGTGCCCCGGGCCTGCGCCCCCGGCGTCCGCTCCCTCACCCACCCGGTGGTCAGTGGTCGGCGGCAGCACTTCCTCGCGGGCGGCGTGCGGACGACTGCTCTGCCCCCAGACCACTCACGTGCTCACTGCCCTAAGAGGCGGTCGTCGGAGCAGTGAGTGAGCACCGTCAAGGGCGGCGAAGGCACAGCCCAGCGACACCCAGCCCCCACTCTGACCTGGGGTGCTGGCCCTGGCCACCCTGAACCCCGGCCCCCACCCCTAACTCCCTCCAGAGAAGACAGCCCTGCTCACCTCGGACCCTGCGGCAGCGCAGTTTATGAGGTTGTTGTTGGGGTTGGCCATCCAGAAGGTGGACACGCCGCTGCAGGAGGGGGAGGGAGAGCGTCAGGCGCCCTAACACTGGCCCACGGGCGGCTGAGAAGTAGACGCTTCCGTCTCTGAGCAGCAGTGGCTCAGCAGCCCATGTGGGAGTCGCCCTGAGCGCGGGCATGGGGGGCGAGGGCCCGGGGGACCCGGGCATGGGGGGTGCGGGCATGGGGGGCGCGGGCATGGGGGTGCTGGCACGGGGGGTACGGGCATGGGGGGCGCGGGCATGGGGGTGCAGGCATGGGGGGTGCGGGCATGGGGGCGCAGGCAGGGGGGTGCAGGCATGGGGGCACGGGCATGGGGGTACTCACTTGCAGTCCTGCCTGGGCTTGGGGATGTACCCTGGGTACGAGTCCTCTGTGATCACCCTGCACATCCTGCTGTCGCGGTCGGAGGGCAGCAGGGTGCCCGGCTTGACGAGGAGGCCGAGGCAGTGGTCAAAGGTGTTGCGCTCCTCTGGCCCGTCCTCCGTGAAGAAGCAGTGGCCCAGAGAGTCGTAGCCCACGACGTCCTTGACCTGCAGGGGTCGAGAGAGGGCACCCGTGTTCACGGATTCGTCCATTCACTCCACACACGGAACAGCGCCAGCCGCACCGCAGGCCCTGGGAGGAGCAGGGGGTTGCAGACGGGCAAACACGGGGGCCGGGCCTGGGGGGCCTGGCGGGGCTGACAGGGGACTCTGAGTCCTTGCTGGCGGGAGGTGTTCCGCTGCGGCTGCGGGGGTGGGGGAAGGGGGACAGTGTTGGAAGCAGGTCCACGGCAGGGCTCAGAGGGCCTCGCGCGGAGCCCTACCTCCCATCCGACGCGGGGATCCGTCCCTGCGCACCCCGACACGTGGCACCTGACGCGGGGATCTGTCCCTGCGCACCCGACACGTGGCACCTGACGCGGGGATCGTTTCTGCGCACCCCTGACACGTGGCACCCGACGCAGGGATCTGTCCCTGCGCACCCCTGACACGTGGCACCTGACGCGGGGATCGTCCCTGCGCACCCCTGACACGTGGCACCTGACACGGGGATCGTCCCTGCGCACCCCTGACACGTGGCACCCGATGCGGGGATCCGTCCCTGCGCACCCCGACACGTGGCACCTGACGCGGGGATCTGTCCCTGTGCACCCCTGACACGTGGCACCTGACGCGGGGATCGTCCCTGCGCACCCCTGACACGTGGCACCTGACATGGGGATCGTCCCTGCGCACCCCGACACATGGCGCCCTGCTTTTGCTAACACCTCAGGGCGGGACGCCCACGAGCCCTCAGGCGCCCGTCCCAGTGGGACGCACCTCACTCTCCTGCTGGGGTCTCCGAGCCCAGCCGCCTGGTGCTGCTGTCCCGGGGCACCGCCCGACGGGGCAGCTGCTGCTCCTCCGCGAGCTCACTGAGCCCACACCTACGACGCTGACCGAGGGGCCAGGCCCGTCCCGGACGCTGTGGGCTGTTAGGCAGCACCTGATCCCCCACGGCCTCCTCAGCCGTGACAGCAAACACGTCTGCAGACACGCACTGACAAAGGTCCCACTGGGGAGGGTGACAGACTGTCCCGACCGAGCGCGCTGACCTAAGGCAAACGCCCCGATTCCCTCCAGAGTCGTTCAGACGACAGAGCTGCCCGCTCCCCAGCCCCGGGGGGTCGGGCTCGGGGCACTGGGACCAGGACCCTTCCCGTCCCAGCACCGACTGGGCCCCTACACCTTCCAGTCCTGCTCCAGTCCTGCACGACCCTTGGTCATGTGTGTTTAGAGACAGGGAAATGAGGCTCGGAGAGTGAAGGACTTCCCAAGGTCGCACCCCTGGCGAGCCAGGGCTAGGACCCAGCTCAGCCCAGAAGGAGTCTGAACACGCCCGCAGCTCTGTTCTCGCAATCGGGGTGTGCCCGACCCCTCAGCCCCTCAGAGGGCAGTGGCCACGGCTCAGGCCGGGCACCAGCAGGGCGTCCGGCCTCCTGGTGAGCGGGCGAGGCTGCTGGCTGAGCCCAGGAAGGCAGCAGGAGGGAGCGGGAGGGAACCGGCTCTCAGGCTGCAGGGACACCGAGGGCCAGCCCACATGCCCTCACCTCACCGACGCCCAGAGAAGGGACACAAGCCTCGGGTTCATCCGCCCCGGGAGGGGGAGCCCCGTCAGACCCAGCTCCTCTGGCAAGGAGACACCCCGGTTTTCTCCCTTCTCCTGGGCTGGCAGCCTGTCAGGAGAGATCACTCTGAGACCCAAGGTGGGGACGGATCAGCCGCCGCCCTGGAGTGAGCGACTGGACCCAACTCCTTCCGGCACTGAGCCCGGGCCCCAGGAGCTGGCCTGCGCGGGGCGGGGGGGGGGGGGGGCCCTCTGGGTCCTGTCTTCCCGGGAAGAAGGTGCTTACCAACAGGCCGTTGGAGCCGTGGACGGTGACGCAGCGGGAGAAGGTGTGGTGGATGGACAGGTCCCGGACGTAGGTGGGCGGGTCGTAGCCGCCCTGTTGGTCCAGGTCCCCCGCCAGGTGGAAGTGGATGGGGTACTGGCCCACCAGCTGCTGCCCCATGTGCACCAGCTCCACGCCCTCCAGGTGTGCGGCCTTGAAGCCCAGCGCGAACTGGGGGGAGACGAGAGTCGGGAGGGTCCGGGGGCGCCCGGACCCCTCGTGGTGCCCATGCTCGGAGAACGCACAGGTGTCACCCTCAAAGTGCTCTGTTCCTCCTGCCCCCTCGGGCGAGTCTCAGATGCTCTCTGCTAAGGTGCTAAGGTGCCTGGCCCTTCCTGCCCCAGGGGGACGAGGCCCTACGTGTGGCACGGCCGTGGCAAGGCCGTGACGGGGAACGAGGGTGTGGAGGGACCGGGCGCCCTCCCGCCCCTTCTCCTCCGAGCATCTGCGTGTGACGAGGGCGAGACCACGTGGGAGCTTCTGCAGGCGACGAAGCGCTGACCGGGCCAGATGCCGGACACCCTGTGACACAGGCCTGCACGAGGAGCTGTCACCCGAGGCCAGGGGGGTCCCTGCTGTGCACCCCCAGGGTCATCGGTCCTGAAGACCAAGATTTTAGCTCCAAGGGAACCGTCCTCACAAAACTGCAGGAGACCCTTGTTCTGTCAACTTTCACCCCAACCGCTGGGAGCAAGGACACCGGGCGGCCGGTGCTCTGCAGTGTGCCCAGCAGAGGCGGGGACGCGCTCTGCAGCCCGCGGCCAGGAGGGCACCCCGTGCACGGACAGGGCTGCAGCGCCTCTCGCCCACCCGACGCTGCCTGGAGCCTCGCAGGCTCCTCCGGCCACAGGGCTCACCTTCCCTCTCGTTTGGATGGGTCTGCTGTGCCCGCGGCTCCTGGGGAGCACCCTGCCCCCGTCTCTTTCGGGAAGGGAGGGCCCCACAAAGAAGCGGGAATGAGAGCCTCCACTGGAGGGAGGTGTGACCGGGGCAGGAGCCATCCCCGGGCTGCTCCGCCACTTCTCCTGCTCCCACGTCCTGACACAAGGGCCGCACGCCAGTGGGCAGTACACAGGACTGCTCCGAATTCCGGAAGGTCCTCCTGCCTCGGGCCCCTTGCCGGCCCCTCCGGCCCCTTCCCTGCCCCAAATCCCGCCGCGGGCTGGCATCGTGGAATTCCCCTGGTGGAACTCCAGCCCTACCTTGATGTGGCCCCCGAAGGTGTCGAAGTCAAAGAAGCTGCAGGTGTGGTTGGTGTAAGGGTAGCACCCGTCCTCCATCTCCCCCATGATCACGATGTTCCGGGTCAGGAGCCCCACCTCGGCCCGCATGTCCACGCCGTCCACCTCCTCCCCGGTGTGCAGGTACAGCGGTTTCCCTGGGCAGGAGGTGAGCAAACCACTGGCCTCAACCCCGTGAATCCACAAGCACATTTTCTGGAAGCTTCTGCGTCCAGCACTGCGGCCGCGCCCTGGTGCGTCCACAGGACCACGGGGCCCGCACAGAAACGGATTCACCCGTCGTGCTGACCTCACCACACCCGCCCGCCCTCCTTCTAGAGCGGACGACGCTCGTCTCTTGTACCAGGGACCCCCGCCCCGCCCCAGGGTGCAAGAGGTTGGAACTCTGGAACTGCCTCGGATTGCCGGCCCCAAGTTCTGCCCCCACAGCACCCCGAGTCCTCCTCTGGAGTGGAGCGGGCTGAGCCTCCCCGACATCGACCCCCACAGCACCCCGAGTCCCCCTCTGGAGGGGAGCGGGCCGAGCCTCCCCGACATCGACCCCCACAGCACCCCGAGTCCTCCTCTGGAAGGGAGCGAGCCGAGCCTCCCCGACATCGGCCCCCACAGCACCCCGACTCCCCCTCTGGAGGGGAGCGGGCTGAGCCTCCCCAACATCGGCCCCCACAGCACCCCGACTGCCCCTCTGGAGGGGAGCGGGCCGAGCCTCCCCGACATTGGCCCCCACAGCACCCCGACTGCCCCTCTGGAGGGGAGCGGGCCGAGCCTCCCCGACATTGGCCCCCACAGCACCCCGACTGCCCCTCTGGAGGGGAGCGGGCCGAGCCTCCCCGACATCGGCCCCCACAGCACCCCGACTGCCCCTCTGGAGGGGAGCGGGCCGAGCCTCCCCGACATCGGCCCCCACAGCACCCCGACTGCCCCTCTGGAGGGGAGCGGGCCGAGCCTCCCCGACATTGGCCCCCACAGCACCCCGACTGCCCCTCTGGAGGGGAGCGGGCCGAGCCTCCCCGACATCGGCCCCCACAGCACCCCGACTGCCCCTCTGGAGGGGAGCGGGCCGAGCCTCCCCGACATCCGCCCCCACAGCACCCCGAGTCCCCCTCTGGAGGGGAGCGGGCCGAGCCTCCCCGACATCCGCCCCCACAGCACCCCGAGTCCCCCTCTGGAGGGGAGCGGGCCGAGCCTCCCCGACATCGGCCCCCACAGCACCCCGAGTCCCCCTCTGGAGGGGAGCGGGCCGAGCCTCCCCGACATCCGCCCCCACAGCACCCCGAGTCCCCCTCTGGAGGGGAGCGGGCCGAGCCTCCCCGACATCCGCCCCCACAGCACCCCGAGTCCCCCTCTGGAGGGGAGCGGGCCGAGCCTCCCCGACATCTGCCCCCACAGCACCCCGAGTCCCCCTCTGGAGGGGAGCGGGCCGAGCCTCCCCGACATCGGCCCCCACAGCACCCCGAGTCCCCCTCTGGAGGGGAGCGGGCCGAGCCTCCCCGACATCGGCCCCCACAGCACCCCGAGTCCCCCTCTGGAGGGGAGCGGGCCGAGCCTCCCCGACATCGGCCCCCACAGCACCCCGAGTCCCCCTCTGGAGGGGAGCGGGCCGAGCCTCCCCGACATCCGCCCCCACAGCACCCCGACTGCCCCTCTGGAGGGGAGCGGGCCGAGCCTCCCCGACATCGGCCCCCACAGCACCCCGACTGCCCCTCTGGAGGGGAGCGGGCCGAGCCTCCCCGACATCGGCCCTCGCTGGCAGGCGCCTCCCCTCCGGTGAGGACAGCGCTACAGGAGCAGCCTCTCTCCAGGGACTCGCAGCCTGACGCACACCACAGACGCCACTCGCTTCCGCTGTGACCTCGACTTGAGCCACAGAGCACACACCTCGCTCAGGCCCGACAGGGACCGCGTGCAGGGCGGCGCCCACAGGCTGAGCCCACCCTGCTCCCTCGCGCCCTGCACCGGCTCCCCGAGCTGGGCCTGCAGTACTGCTGAGGAAGAGGACTGCTTCGGGCTCTGCAGACGCAGGGAGGCGGTGGTTTCTTTGAAGCACCTTGGTTCAAAGAAGTGAACCTGACTCACAGCAAAGCCACAAAAGTATCCCCTTTGGAACCAGTACCAGCTTCCCAGGCTGCTGGAGAAATTGCCACAGACCGTGGCTTAGCACAGCCGTCACCCGTCCCTCAGGCCGGAGGTCAGAAGCCAAGAGGAGTCAGGGGCCAGCGGCCGAGCTGCAGGCAGGCGGGGTCCCTGGGAGGCTGTCGGGTTTCAGAGCCCAGTGACCTGAGCTCCCGGCTGGCGGCCCCTCCTCCACCTTCAGTGCGTCGCTCCCGTCGCCTGTCCCCACACCCGTCCCCTCTGACGCTGACCCTCCTGTCCCTCTCATGAGGACCTCGGCGACCACTGGCCCGGCAGACAATGCAGGGGCCTCACAGCCCTGCCTTCCTCGAACCTCAAAGCCCCTTGGCCGAGAAAGACAACACTCCTGGGTCCTGGCAAACAGGATGTGGACATCTTTGGGGCCATCATTTAGCTGACCGGTGGACTTCTTCTCAAAAAACAAACAAACAAAAAGGCCTAGGTATTTGAAAAATTAACTTGCCCTGGCCGGTTTGGCTCAGCGGTTAGAGCATCGGCCTGCGGTCCAGAGAGACCCAGGTTCGGTTCCCGCTAAGGGCACGTACCTCGATTGCAGTTTGTCCCCGGCCCTGGTTGGTCGTGCAGGTGGCAGCCACTCGATGTGTCCCTTTCACGTCGATGTTTCTCTCTCTCTCTCTCCCCCTCTCACTCTATCTGAAGATAAAAGCAAAACTTTCTTTAAAAAAAGAAAGAAAAATTAACTCGACAGAGTCCGTCACTGGCATGTGCTCTCATCCGAGCTCTGAGCCCACGGTCTGTGCCCCTGGCGCAGGGAGGGGCCGAGGGGAGGCTGTGGGCGGGGCTGGCAGGTCTCCGGTTCTGAGGCAGCAGAGAGCCCGAGACAGTTCTGCAGCAGGCGGGGCCCTGCCTGCCTCCAGCCAGCCCGTGGCCCTCCTTCTGGATCACAGGGCCACGTCTTTGCAGTTTTAAGGCCCAGCAGCAGGGTCCCCCTGCGGGGTGCTGCTAGCAGATGGCCTCCGGGTCAGCAGACCACCTGCCCCTGGGTAAGCTTCAGCTATTCTATTCCTCAACACTTCTCTTTGGCTGCTCCTCCGGCGGGACAGCCTTCTCCGCCTTGTCCACGCAGCAGGCCCTCGTCTGTCCGGCTCCGGCTCCGATGGATCCTTCTCCCTGAAGGCTTCCCTAAGCAGCCTCAGCATCAGCCCGTGGTCCCCATGTGCCCACAGAGCTCAGCAGAGCCAGCAAACACCCCCCCAAGACTTCCCACCAGCCCTCATAGCACATGCATTTTTGGGCTTGAGGGCTTCTCTCAATTTGTCAGTGTCCCCCTTAAAATATAATGTCCGAGCAGGACATGACCAGAGGCTTCTCATGGAGGGGATGGTCTCCAACACGCCTGGACAGACAGGGCGGTGGGTCTGAGCACTGTAACGCTGAGCCTGGCTCTCCGGGCAGACCCAAGCTCAGATCGTACCCGAGTCCCTGGGAGCTACTTGAGCCCCTGAACCTCAGGTGTCCATCTGCTCAGTGGGAACAAGGACAGCGGCGCAGGCTGGCACCGGCTCTCCCACAGCGGGCTGCACACCTGCAGTGACTGCAGGTCAGACAGCTTTCCTGTTCCCCGGGGGGCGGCAGGGTGTAGGGGGGCTGCCAGGTCGATGGGGACTGTGTGGATCACCCCCATGAGCAGGCGAGTCAGACAGAGCGGTGAGCGTGTTTCCATCACGGCCTCCTCCCCCCGCAGCGGGGCCCCTGTCAGGACGCGTACGAAACCTTACGGCAGTTTATCTGCCCTGCTGCTCTGGTCACAGGCCACCCCCAGCTGCTGTCCCACGGAAGCTGTGGCCCGGCTTCCCGGCCTCCACCTCGTCCCTCCTCCTCACAGCTGTGACACCGAAAGCTGAGCAGGGTCAGCAGACGTGGCACACTTGCCCAAACAATGCAGAAGGGCCACGTGCACGGCAAGGGGAGGGGTGGCTGGGAGCACCCCTTCCTCCCCAGTCAGGAGAAGAGTAAACATCAGGGCCCCCCCAGTGGGAGAAACAGGCGCGTCCTGTGGCTCAGCCGCGTGGGCACAGGGACTGCCTCAGCCGCGGAGGACACGCCCGGGGGCTGGGCTGGCAGGTCCCAGGCAGGCAGACTGAAGCACAGCTGCAGTCTCCTCCCACCGTGCAGCCTCGGGCGGCTGGAACCGGCCTTCGCGGAGAAGGACGAGCAGGCACACGGCCCTGGCACCACACAGCTCTGAGTTTGAATCCTGCTCGGCACAGGCACTCGAGGAGCCTTGCTGGCCCGGGCTGGGTGGCTCAGTTGGTTGGCGCGTCATCCCAATAGGCCACGGCGGCGGGTTCAGTCCCAGGTCAGGGCACACACCAGCATCAGCCAGTGAAGGGCACAAAGAGGTGAAGCAACAAGTCTCTCTCTCTCCCTCTCTCTATAAACCAATCAATAAAAAATAATTAAAGAGAGAAAAAAAACACAAGACTTCCTGGCCTACACGGGCACCCCCACTACAGCTTTGAGGTGACGTCAGGCTCTGTCCTTGCTGTCACAGGGTGGCCACTGCACACCTGAATCTGGCTCGTGTGGCCAAGGAACGGACTTTCTAATTTCATTTAGTTGCAATTATATTCGAACGGCCACATGTGGCTGGGGGCTGCCGTGTCCGAAAGTGCGAGTCCGGACATTTGATTCCCGCGACCTCGGTGTCCTCGTCTGTGTCCTGGAGGAAACAGCAGCCAGAGGAAACAGAGCGGGACAGATCGTGCGGGGCAGGTCACAGGACACCGCGGGGACGTCCACCCGGCCAACGGCGGCTGCTCCGAGGGGGGGAGGGCGGTCACGGGCAAAGCAGAAGCGGGGTGAGAAGAGGGCAGAAAACCGAGGCGCTCTCTAATTGCCGTGTCAGGAGGTGTTGGGAATTATATTGTGGTTGGCGAAACGCGGAAATATTTTTTTTTAGATGATTCACACATTTTCATGACTTTGTTACCCTCATCTGTTTCCCATCAGAAAACCCTTAAACGCCTGTTTACTGGAACGGGGCGGTGAAGAAAGACCCAGGAGGGCTGGTCCCTCTGCAGCCAGCCTGGGGGTGAAACCTAAGCGATGGGGGTGGGCGGCTTCACAGAAGGAGAAGGCAGGAGGAGCCCCTGCTCTGTCGGGGGAGATGGGGAGCCAGAGCCAGGGGCTGGGGCTTAGCAGGGGAGATGTGAGCTGCCCCTGGGCACACACACACACACACACACACACACACCCCCCTCTACCTGGGGCTTTTCCGACACTGGCCACCAGGAGGCAATGGCGAGCAGAGAAGTGGACGTCCACTCTGAGTCTAACTTAGGGCGTGGGGTCAGCTGGTGTGGGGTGCTGCAGACACAGGCACAGGCCTCGCTAAGCCGAGGGAGGCCGGAGGTCCTAAGAGGTGCAGCGGCTTCTCCACGCAGCCTCCCCCCTCGCACTCGGACCCAGAACCGCCCGGCCCCCCTCCAACCAGCCCAAGGCCTCAGGAAGCACGGCCGCAGCTGGGCCTGTGCTCGGCCGTTGCCAAGAGGAGCGGCCCCAGCAGGCGCCCAGACCACACTGTGAGGGGCATGCAGGCCTCGACATCACCGGGTCCCTCTCTCAGCCACGCGGCACCACAGCTTCACGGCCGGGCTGCTCCAGGCCTCGGGGTGCCCAGCACGGGGTGCACGTGAGGGCCGGTGTGAAGAGACCAGGGCCCCTCCCGGAGGCTCCTCCCCCTCCACGTGGACAGGAGGGGCCTCGGGGCAGGCTTGTCACCCGCCAGAAGCCACAAACGCCGCCTAGACCAGGGCTCGTAAATGAGCAGTGGCATCAGCTCCCGTGGCCTGACTGCCACTCCTGCCGAGTCCAGGAGGACGGGGCCTGTGCACGTGGGGACACAGAAGCCGTCCAACTCAGTGCCTAACTCCACGGACTCACTCCTCGTGGGGCGTCCGTGGCTGGGGACACAGGAAGTCTTTTCTCTCCGGAATCCAACAGGCCACTGCCCGCGGAGCCAGCCCCACGCTGTTCCCAGGGGCGCCTTCCCTCCGCCCACGCGGCTCTCCTGTCCTCACTGCTGCAGCCCACATGACCCTCCCCGCAGGCTCTGCCTCGGCCGGCCCTCTGAGGGCCTCCTCTCTCCTCGTCACCCTCTCTCGCGCCCTGGGGGCAGGGGCAGAGCCATGGGTATCTGGCTCACCGTGCCACCCCAAAGCCCGGAGCACGGCCTGGCATGAACGTGCCAGGCTCTGTTACGTTGTCCAGGGACGAACGTTTGGCCACCTCAGCCTCTGCCCACCAGCTGCTGCCCCCTCCCGTGTCCCTCTAGGACCCCCACCAAATGCCACCCCGGCAGCCGGACAGACTCCCTTGTGGTTCTGAGCCCTGGGACCCCAGGGCAGTGTCTGCCGACCGCCTCGGCCACCTGACCCCCAGGGTCCACTCCCCCACAAACCAAATAAGGGCATTGACCTCCAACACTGTTTCTCACCTTTTTTTAAACCTTTGCTCCCCCAAATTCTTTCTCAGGACATCCCCATCAGCCAAACAGATTGCGCTGAATTTTACTTTCTGTAGTTTTACTTCCAAAACGGTAGATATTCTGAACAGAGTGATGCTCTGCTTTCTCGCTCTGCAGTCCCCCCCTACCCCCAAATTCTAACCCTTCCCCACTGGAGCTGGTATTTGCCATGCCCAGTGTCGTGTTCTTTCTTCTCGGAATACACCCCGGTTTTCCCTGGGGATGCGACCGTTTCTGCGTGTGAAGCGGTCTTAGGACTGTCAAGGAAGCCTGGCCCAGGACTGCGCAGGTGCCTGCAGACACAGGCCTCGAGGAAGCTGCTCGCCGGTTCCACCCAGACCCCTGAAGCTGCCCCGTCTCGTCCCCTCTCAGCCTGGCCATTCCGTGTCCACGAGGTCCATTTGGTTAAAGACAGTCAAGTCGGATTCTGTTGCTTACAACCACGCAACCCTAATGGATACACAACTCTGTCCGCTAAGAGTAATCAACCTGATGACATCTGAGGTTTCTTTCCGCCACGAACAATCTACGCTTCCAGTAACCTCGCCTATCGTAAGTGACAGCATCAAAGTCCAAGTTTAGGAGAAGGAGAGACAAAACCCAGAAGCTCCAGGAAGGAGAGAGTTAAAGTCCGGAGACTGCGCTCCTGCCCGGCAAACGTTCACTCCCGACGGGAGACATAGCCCCCCCGCCACGCGCGGCGACCACCCGATGTGCTTCGGCCAATGGAGTGTGGGAGGGGGCTGCTCGTTCCGAGCCCAGGCCTTCAGCCTCCTCTCGCGCTTCCGCACACCCCCTGGGCGTGTTCGAGCTGCCCCGGGAGAAGAATGTCCCCGGGGAGAAGGAGAGTCCCGTGGAGCCAACCTGGACCGATCTGTCAGCCTGGAGAGCCCCAGACGACCTGCAGAAGCATGAGCAGGAGACCCACGCTTGCCGTGAGACGTCGAGGGTGTTTTCGCTGTTGTTGTTGTTACGCAGTGTCGTCATGGCGATAGCTGACTGATACACATCGTCTGTGATTTCAGTCCACTTTAAGCCTAACAGTCTCCAGATCCCGCCAGCCTGGGGTGGGGTGCGTGAAAGCTTACCTGCTACTCTGACCTGGTTGGGGGCGCAGGCTCTGCAGGGAAGCACCTCGAACTCTTCCGCCTGGTACATGGAGTAATCGGTGCTGGCGACGACCACAGTGTCCCCAGGCCTCCACGACCGCACGTTGTCCTCCAGGGTCAGCAGGGTGCTGTTGACGTTGGTGTCGATGGCGACGGTGAGTTTGGGCCTCACTGCGACCCAGAGCAAGAGGGGTTGAGATCTAGGCCTTTGCCCTTGGCAAACTGTTGCCTGCCTGCCCCTCCCCCCCCCTCAGTAAGTAAACGCCAGGTTTGCCGATCCGAAACCCGCATCGCCGGGCTGGCTCCTTGTCAGCCTTGCTGCAGGTTTTTGAAGTCAACAAAAGCCCGACCAGAAAAGAGCCATTCATTAGCTCTGGGCAGAGGGATTTTCCACTAAGGCCTCAGCTGGAGTTCCATGTGGTTGCCTCACCACACCCACTTCGCTCAAGACGTAAAACAAATATAGTTCCTCTCCACTGTTATTTACAGTAGCCGGGAGCCGGTTGCCCAAAGCCCTCCCGTCCCTAATGACTGCCTTCTGGGGGTGGCCAAGCGCCTCCTCGCGTAAACCGGCCATTTCCAACCCCTGGTAATGAGCATCTCGGGACCTGGGTTTAGAATAGCAGCACCCAGAGTCCAGGGGCAGCGTGTCTGCGTGGGGCGGGGCGGCAGGAAGGTCGGCTCTGTCCACTGCACCCTGGCTTTCTTGGACCAGGCCCTTCCTGACAGACAAATGGGCAGGGTGGGGCCCGCTGACTCCTGCCAACTCGGAGCACCCTCCCACTTCTCCCGTGTCGCGAAGAGCCTGGCAGGAGCTCTGTGTCCCTGAGATGCTGCGAGGCAGCAGGCCTGGCCATCCGAACTCACAACGGAAGGCTGCCGGCTCGAGGGGCGGCCGTCCCGACAGGGAGCTGCTTACCGGGCCTCCCACACAGGAACCGCACACGGTATCTCTGGCAGGCGTGGCCCTGGGCGTAGCACACAAACCTATAATCCTGGCCTCTTTTGTAGACGACCTCAGTGGTGAGGTTGGCTCCGTCCACTGTCGTGGCCTGGGAACGGCAGGGAAATTATAGATCGAAGTCAATTTTTTTTTTTTTGTAAAGAAGAAAGGTGATGATTAATGCTGTAAACATATACTCACAAGTCTAAAATCGTCCCTGAAGAGCAAAGTATGCACAATAACCTGAGACTAGTATTCCCTCGATGGCCCTGGTTTGGTTGGGAAGTCACAGGACAAATCAATGCCCTGCCGGGGGCCCTACGGAACTGGGATCCAGACCAGGGTCTACTGTGCATCACTGGGCGGCGTCTTAGGGAGCCTGCTCCACGTAGGTGCCCTCTCAGAGCTGGGCTGGCGACGAGGCTGCACCACCCCCACCAGCCCTGGGAGCAGGGCCGACATGCAGGCTCCGGGTTCGAGCCGCTGGTGGGCCCACATCACGTGAGGACTCTGAAGATACGCCCGGCCCCACCCTCGAGTCTCAGCTCCGATTGAAAAGCTGCCCCGTGACTCCCAGGGGCATGAAGTCCAAGAACCCCACCTCGCAGCTGCGGGGCTCAGTGTTCACGCACATCATTGCACTGGGTCTTCGCGGGCGAAACTACAGATCAGGAAGCAGAGGCTCAGAGGGCTGAGGAACTTGCCCAGGACCACAGAGCCAGCAGAGTCCAGCCCTTGTCCACCCGCACAGCCTAGCCTAGAGTCTGCCTCCTCCCACGACCGTGGGCTCTGGGGAGGGCAAAGAGCAGGTTTTTCCTGTCTCCTGCCCCAGCCCCCAGCCCAGGGCCTGGTCTGAGGGGGTCTCGGAGGGTGAGGCTGACGGCACAGCTGCAGGGCCAGGTGGAGAGCGTGGGCCGCGGGCCCAAGGAGGGCTGCCCCGGGCCTGGTGCGCGGCGACGGGCTGCCATCGCAGACATGCATGGCCACCGCTGCTGCCCTCCGGGCACAGAGACCAGAGGCACAGGGCTGAGCCGCAGGGACCAAGGACAGCCAGCCTGAGAGGGCGGGGCCTGTCAGCAAACACTGCTCTGAACCCGGCCGACACTGAGGGGACGGCCGCGCAGTGAATCCAGCCAACACTGGCTGCGCCTTTTCCTGCCACACGCCGCTCTCCGGGGGTCTGTGCAGCCCCCCAAGGCAGGGCTGCAGCTGGGCTCTCCCCGCAACAGGGAGGCGCAGAGGGGTCTGGAAACCCAGGGCCACCGGACCGCCACACCCAGCACCTGACCCCTGAGGCCAGCGGGCTCTTCGGCAGGAGACCCCGTCGGACCGGGCACCTCCCCGCCCACTGCAAGCAGACGGAGCCGCACCTTTCTCAAGGTACGAAATCCAACAGTTTCAACAGAACAGCTACTCGGTTCTGCTGCTCCCTTCTCTCCCTTTCCTTTTGTGAACCTGAAGACCTCGGTCTGGCTGAGGTCAACGGGCTCTGTCCCTGCACCGTGGCACCGGCCTTCGTTCACTTTAAGTAGGTGCCACTTGGTCGGGATTCGGGACGGTGAATGATAAAGTAACGAGCGGCATCGCCGCCATCATAACAACTGTAACAGAAGCTGATGGGCATTCACTGTGGGTTAGGTTCTTCACCTACTGTTGCATTAAAACCGCAAAATAACCCTGGCCCGTTTGGCTCCGCGGTTAGAGCATCGGCCCAAAGACCAGAGTCCCAGGTTCGATTCCAGTCGAGGGCACGGACCTGGGTTGCAGGTTCGATCCCCGGCCCCTGTGTGGGTTGTAGGGGAGGCAACCAGTGAATGTGAAGACACATCAATGTTACTCTCTCTCTCTCCCTCCCTCCCTTCCACTGTCTCTAAAAAAATCAATAGACAAATATATCATTTCCCCCATTTTTCCATAGGAGGACATCGAGACACCAAGTTAAGTCACTGGAGTGATGCCTCTGGCCGGGACGGAGTGTGGGGCGCCCAGGGCGCAAGACACTAGGTGGCACGCGGTCCCGGGGCGTGCAGGGCGGGGCACCAGAGGAAACCCGTGTGCCGGTCGCCAGTCTCCTCGCTCTCTCCAGCCCGCGGTGAAGTTTGGGGCCTGGGACGAGCTGTGCTCCGATGGCAGGCAGAGGCGAGTCCCCGCGAGGACGTAGCTGGAGGAGGGGCATGCCCACGGAAGGGCTGGGCTCCCTGCAGCCAAGGGAGCTGGAGGAATAAGACTGCGGCTGCCTCAGAGTTGGATGTGGGACGTTGAGGGTCGCAAGAGAAAACTGAAACTAAGTATGTGCTTTGGTGATGGGGGGTGTCAGGACTTTTTGATACTGTTGGACCCAAGAAGAGTCTACAACTTGCAACTTAATCTGGGTGAATCCCTCTCGTAACGTTGGAGCTGTGTGAGCAAACAGCTTTGCCAAACAAGCAGCAAGGTCTCCTCGGACTTTCCCGACTGCTGGACTGAGTGTCCACCCTTGGAAAAGTGGCCCCTGTCCCCAGTCCCCCCACAGAGCAAGGACGTGAAAAGCAGCAGGTGACCTTGGGACCTTCGGTCAGATCACCTGGGTGAAGGTGTTTTACTGGCTGGAAGAGGGTAACGGGCAGGGATGGTCTTCTCCAATGGCCCCTGAGTCTGTATCAGGCATGTAAGCGGCCTGACTCTTGTGTTGGGACAAGACCAGGCATAAGAAAATAAACACCATCGACTCTGCCCGTGTCTCGGCTGTTGGCCGCTGAGTCCAGGCTCTGCAACTGAGCTGGTGAGCTGTTGGGCTGTGTTTACTTCACACGTCGGTGGTGAGAAAGCCCAGGCCCTGCAGGTTAGACCCCAAGCAAACACAGCCGTCTGCGAGTGCTGCCTCCCACCCAGGGGAGCCAGGCTACGGCGCGGCCGGCCCCCAGCCCCAGCGGGGCCTGTGCACCCAGGTCCAGAGGTGGCCGAGGAGCGGACGAGGGCCCGGGCCACCCCTGCGCGGCAGCAGCAGGGGAGGAGGACGGAGGAAGGAACCTGAGCCCTGGCTCTGGAACTCGCCACCCGGGAGGCTGCAGCACATCCTGGGCCTACCACAGCGGACGCTGGTCCCTGGCTCACCTGTGTGTCCTGGGGCCACGAGAAACAGCACTCACAGGGCGACAACGTCGGAGAGCTACAACCTGCCCCAAATCACCCGTGACTGTCTTGAGTTGGTACCTGTATATCCAGTGGACGAACGCAGATTTTTCCCGGGTGAGCTGCCCAGAGGTCTGAAATCTTCTCGCCGCCTTTGGCGTGTGGCACTTTGTCGTGGATGAACCATTCCGTCCACTCCACGTCTGGGCAGAAAGCAAAGAGCCGGGCCGGACAGCAAGGCCCGGGGGGCAAGTCAGGCTCAGCGGGGCCCCAAACACCCCCCACACCCAGCTGTGCTTTTACAAACGCGGTAGATATTCTTCATTATTGCAAAGAGGAGGAGGAGGAAATCTCCACCTGTGAGCCCACCACCCAAGGATCACTGTCTTCCGCCCCCGGTCCCCATGGGTGGATACATGAGGGCCAGGACCTAGTGGTCCTGTGAGCCCACCACCCAAGGGTCACTGTCTTCCGCCCCGGTCCCCATGGGTGGACACATGAAGGCCAGGACCTAGTGGTCCTGCTCGTATCTCCTGTTCTGTGCACTCCTGGCCCGGAAAACATATTCCGTGAAAAAAATAGCATCTCTCTGGGCTACTGGCCACAGTGACTTGATGAATTTTGTTGTTGTTGTTGTTATCCTCACCCGAGGACATTTTTCCACTTTTTGTTCAGATAGAGCGGGAGGGAGAGAGAGGAAGAGAGAGAAAGAAACATTGATGTGAAAGGGATACATCGAGTGGCTGCCACCCACACGACCCAACCAGGGCCGGGGACAAACTGCAACCGAGGTACGCGCCCTTAGTGGGAACCGAACCCGGGTCTCTCTGGACCGCAGGCCGACACTCCAACCGCTGAGCCAAACTGGCCAGGGCGTGACTTGATGAATTAAAGAGACAGATTTCAGTGGCAACTTCGGCTGACTGCACATCCTGGCCTTTGGCCCAAACACTGGGCGTTACCAGGCACCCCAAACGCTCACCTTGAACCCACTCGCTGGATGAAGAGACGTTGAAGTACTCGCCGTGCTCCGTCCGGAACAGTTTGAACACCCGGGCGGCGGCGGAGCCTCGGTGACCTGTCACAGACCAGGTGATCAGCCACAGACAGACCCCCAAATCCAGAGGGGGTTCATCTAAGGCAGAGAAAGCTGCCCCCCTCCCCCGCATGCAGGGATCTTGAGCCACTGCTTTAAAAGAACAGCCCAGGCCATGTTCCACTTGGGGAGCAGCCTGCTGCCCCTTCCTTTGGCTCTGACCGCTGGGCGGTGCCCCCAGGTCTGCAGTTTGGCGCCCGTCCTTTCTCCTGCAAACTCCTCTGTGCGGTTGGACACGGCCGTGCTCCCACACGCTCCTCTGGGCAGAGGAGTCGGTGCGGGGAAGGCCTGTCCCAAGTGTCCTTTCGGCCCATGTGCTGCCCCCGCTGGCTCTGTCCCGGTGCCCGTCTTCCCTGCCCGCCGGCTGGGACACGAGGGTAAGAGCAGGAATAAACGAGGCCGCTCGGAGACGAGCTGGAGCTGCCCCCTCAGGCCACGGCCTGGCCCGGCTCACACCTCAAAACAGGGCGGATGGACCTCTGGGTGGGGTCTGAAGCCTCCTCGGTCCCAGAGGACTGTCTAACGGCCACCAGACTGAGCATGAAGACGCGGTTTGAGGTCGCGCCCCGGTTGCGTTTTCTGCACCGACAGCCAGGCCTTCCTGCCACAGAGCCGCTCCCCTTCCCTTGCTCGCCAGCGCCCCTCGCGGGGGCTTCTGCCCGGACCGATTCCCAAAGAGCTGTCCTTGCTGACCTCACACGCACACACTGCCTCTCCCTTCGAAAGGCCTCGTTTTGGGTTAGCAATGTCAGTGACGAGTTCTCCGAAAATGTACACTCTCCCTGATGCACACTCAGCAGTGCTGACTTGTGCACTGGGCGGGCACGCGGCCGGGGAGGGGCTGGCCAGCCCACGAGGTGTGGGAAGCGGGTCGGCCGTGCTCGGGGGGAGCCCTGCGCATTCTGTCAGACGCGGGGGGCGGGGGGCGGGGCGGGGTTCAGCCTCTCGCTACCCACTCATTACCGTGATACTCGATGTGGTCCTCCACAGACGAAGCCGGATTTCCCTTCACGGTGATGAAACTCCAAGGGTGTCTGGAAACAACAGCAGAGGTGAAGCTCCTCACACGCCCGAGCCTGTGGGCAGGCGGACAGGACTCGGCGCCACTCGGAGAGCAGCCGCCAGGCACCTGGGGAGGCGAGTCCCGGGCACGGGCTCCCTCTCTCCGGAGAACAGGGCCTTTCTCGCAAGCACTGGGCTTCCGACCCGCCTGGCTCACCTGCTGTTTTCAATCTGGGAGCCTCTGGCCCTCTTGGCTACACACGGGCGTGAATCACAAACAAACAAGCCGCAGACCTGCCCGCACCCGCCAGGCTCCCTCCGGTCCTGAAGCGAGTGCTCAGACTCCTTTCGGGAGGCAAGGAGCGTGTCCCAGGAGAGGCCGGTCCTCCCACCCCGGGGTCCTCAAGGCAGCCTCGAGGGAAAAGCCCGAGGCCGCAGGATGGACAGCCTGGGGTCGGCAACAGGCTTTGGGAAGGACAGAGATGCCTCTTCTTCCCGACGGGAGCAAAGGAAAAACAGCAGGTGTGATACTTTGAAAAGCTGTCCAGCCTCCTTGCCTCCACGGGAGGGCGAGGGCAGGAGGCCTTCTCCCCATCTGCTCGGCACCCGGGTACCTAGGATACGCCCTCTCTCTTGCTAGGAGCTACAGGAGCTTTTGGTCCTCAACAGCTTTGATGACTTTAGTTTTGACCTCTGAGCTTGCAGAGTAAGTGTGACTGAGGTCGGGGGTGGACTGTGTCGCTCTCTGGCTGTAACCCTTCCATGGCTCCCCATGGCCTGCTGGATAAAGACCAAGCTCCCTGGCAGGGCAGAGGCCCGCCTGTGCCCACTGGCAGCCTCACCCTCCTCCGCCCTCCGCCGCATCCCTGCTGCTGCCTGTACGTCCCCTGGTCTCCAGGAAAGCCACGTGCGCCTGGGACTCTGGACCTACTGGTCTTTCCCAGGGAATCCGCCCTCCCCCTCCCCTGCGGGTTCTGCCTCCTGCTGTCTCTCTGGCTCTCAGATGCCTCGTGACCCTATTCCTTCGTGTTCGCCTTCCCGCGAGAGCTCAGGACACCGAGTCGCGCCTGGGGCCTCACGCCAACGTCTGCTCAATAACCACTTGGAACGAACGAACAGATGAGGGGACGGGGTCTCGGTTATGGTACTGAGTTTGCCACTCAACGTGTGTCTGGTGCAAATGAGAGCTGAGCATTTCTGCACAAGCAGTGCCTTTATCCGCAGGAACGGCCGTGACCGACACGGCACGTGTCCACCCTTCCCGTGGCTCTTGGTCATACGGCAGAGTCGTTTCTGACATCTGCTGAGCCCTTACTGTGTTCACATCAGTCCCTCTCGTCCCCCAGCAGCCCCTGAGATGGCTCCCGACAGCCCCGTTCCACAGACGCAGAACCTCGCCGCGAGGGTGAGTCACTTGCCTGCGGGCACAGCTAATAGGAGGTGTAGCCCAGACTCAAAACCAGGTCAAATCGGATGCCAGGCCTCGAGGCGTCGTGTTACCTCTGCTGAGGTCCTACGTCGTCGGGCCCTGTGGCCCAGAACGAACTGGCCTTTCAGCCGGGAAACAAGCTAAGGAAGGAGCCTGGTGATGCCGCGGTGTCCCCGTCCGCCTGGCTGCTCCCGTTTCCTGCCCAAACCCTTTCCGAAGGAGCAGCCCCTGGGCGGGGGGCACGCACCCGGCACCTGGAGCGGCCCCCTCGCCCAGGGCTGTCCGCCCAGCTGGGAGGTGGCTTTGCTCTGAGCCCAGAAAGGGTGCTGGCTGGCCCCCATTTTGCCCACGATCTGCAGAGCTGAAGGGAAGGACATCACTGTCCCCAGACAGCCACAGGCAGGAGGCCTCAGCTTCCCGCCGAGCCGAGATCTGATCCAACACGATACAAAGGTGTGGCTACTGTGGCGCAAACGGCTTTCTCTCGGTGCCAACGCGTGTGTGTGCCAACCTCGGGCATGAAGTTACAGTACAGTCTGACAAACAGCTCACCGCGGAAGACATCGGGGCGCCCTTCCCGTGGGGGGCTGGGCTAGACAGGGACACTCCATATGATCTCTAAACACGTGTCTGCCCGTCCCCAGTGCACACGGCAACCCCTCTGTCAAAGAAAGACAGAGCGAACCCTGCTGTGCACTGGAGGCCTGGCTCCCGCAGGAGACGCTCCCTCAGTATCTGCAGGTGGGTGACTGAGCGGACGTGTCCCCAGAAACACAGACCTTCTGCACTGTCAGAGTGAGGTGTGCTTGTAAGAGCCTGCAGGCTCCCTCTCAGAACAAGCCCGGCGTGCCCTCTGCCGATGGAGACGGGCCTGCGTCTCCCTGTGTCCCCTGGGGGTGGTGCGGCCCGGGACAGGGCTGCAGCCGTGTTCTGGAGCCCGGTGGAGGTGGGGGCGGAGGGGACGGGCGCAGGCACCTGAATCCGAGGCGCAGGAAGCGCTTGCTGCCCAGCTTGGTCATCACCTTCCTGGCAGTGTCGTCCAGGTTCCGAGACCCTTCATCATTCACAGCGACGGACAGGATCCTGCCGGTGGGCACCGCATTCAGATACTGGACCAGGCGCTCGCTCTCCTTCTTGAATCTGTAGGTGTCGAACCTAGGGAGGGCAGAGCGAGGGAATCCTCACAGTCCCGACAGCAGCCGAGCAACAGCGGAGCTCAACTCTTCCTGCGACAACCAGTGCGCCACCCAGGGACGCCACGGCTCTGATTTCCGGAGAGTTTATGACAGCAAACTCGCCCCTGATGACCCTCCCTGGACCCATCCATGGCAGTGGGTCTCAAAAGGTCTAGACCACGGGCGACCAAATGTACAAAGGAAAGACACAACTGTGCGACGATGCATAAAGACTGTATGCAATCACAACGGAAACTCCAGAGAATTCGTCTTGGGACTCAGCAGGCAAACCCGTTCTAAAATAAATCTAGAGAAATAAACTAGTGGGAATCGCCCAGAAAAACAGTGGTCGGGGTGGGTTCGCGGGGAGGTGCTCCTGAGTCATTGTTGGCATAACCCGACCCGACCGGCCGAGGTGCCTCCCCAGGAGTAAGTCCCGTCTCAGCACATTTGCGGCCGCACCGCGCGCCCACTCCTGCCTGCCCGCCCTCATTCTTGCTGCCTCACTGGATGCCAACTACCTCTCGAGCACACACCCACGTTATCATTCCTCCAGGTAACCTCAGGTGGCTGCAGCCTGCATTTATGTCGTGTTCAGTGTGGTTACCACCTTTGCTCAGACAGACCCTCCAGGCTGCTGACACACGAGTAGAGAGGTGGAGGGGCAGGTGTCCCAGCTCTGCTGCCTCCACAGCGGCTGTCTGCAGGGCTTCACTAGGGAATTCATCTTTTTTAATTCCTCGCTTAAGGATATTTTTTCTATTCATCATCAGATAGAGTGGGAGAGAGGGAGAGAGAGGGACAGAGAGAAACATCGATGTGATGGAACCACACTGACCGGTTGCCTCGCCCCAACCAGGGCCGGGGACGAACCGCAACCAAGGTCCGTGCCCTTGGCCGGACTCCGGTCCACAGGCCAACGCTCTCACCGCTGAGCCAAACCGGCAGGGGCGCATCTCCAGTCTCGTGATCATGTCAGTCTCCTTTGTGCTCGGTTTAATCTCGTGTGGTGTTGTAGGCTCAGCGTTGTCTAAGTGCAGTGTCTATAAGTCTGCAGTCCTGTACAGTGACGTCCCACCGCCACATTCCCTCACTGCGCACTCACGACTCAGCTAGACGACTTCCAGTCCCATGAGCTCCGTTCATAAGTGGCCTATACTAGTGCAACATTGTAACAGTCTTTGATACTGTATTTTTACTGTAGCTTCTCTACGTCGAGATACACAAATACTTGCCGTTGTGTGACAGTGTCCACAGTACTCAGCACAGTAACATGCTGTACAGAGTTGCAGCCCGGCCGCAGTAGACTAGACCATCCAACCCAGGTGTGTGGTAGGCGGTGCCATCTAGGTGTGTGTGAGGAGCTGTGATGTTCCCAGAAGGACAAAGTCGCCACCGATGCATCCCCAGTGTTCAGTGACACGGGCCTGTTTGCCTGCTCCCTTTCCATCGCCCTCTGCTGGCTTTTCCGTGCTTGCGAACATCACGCCCTTCCTCTCCGCAGGCCCTTTGCACCTGCCACTGTCTTAACCCCTTGCCCCACACGCGGCCTCACCCCACACGCGGCCTCACCCCGCCGCTTCCAGCTCACACGTTGCTTCCTGGCTCTTTCCTGACCACCGGATGCAGGAGAGTCCTTCCCAGCGACTCTGCCATTCGCTCTGTCTCTTTCCCCCTAATTAGCACAATCTGAAATTTTGTTGCGTGTACATACGGGTGTGTGTGTGTGCTTGTTCCTGCTAAATTCCGCTTCTCTGGGTAAATGCCTGGTGAGGGAGCGACGTTGCTCTGCTCTGCTCCCAGCACCGGGAGCGGCGTCTGGCTGGGGCAGGAGGTCGGTACGCAAGCGTTGAACAGAGGGGCCTGTGTTTAAGCGAAGACAAACCTTACCGGTCAGAATGGATGACTGTCCCTGATTTGGGGTCAATTTCATGAACGATGACTCCACGGTGACCCCAGCTCCTTTCAAAATAGTAGCCTCCTTCCTCCATGCCACCCGGGTGAAGGGTCTTGTTCAGAAACGTCCAAGACAGCTTTTTCTGGCCGTGCAGCTCCAGGGTGCCTCCTTGGCCGACGCCAATGTACTTCAGGCCGAAGTAAGGGTCCGGCGGGGTACCTTCGTCCGCCCTGCAAGAGAACACAGCTCTCTGAGTCAGCTGGCACCTCTCTTCGCTGGACGCTGGACCCGGGGGGATTTCAGGGCCCCCTGAGTCCCCGAGGCACCGCAGAGCCAGGCCCGCGGGGTGATGCACATGGTCAGCCTCACACCCACATCTCCGAGGCGAGGCCACAGCGAGGCCAGAGGGCCGAGCGGAAAGACACAGCTTTAGCCTGTCGGCGGCTGTCTTCTCGGTGCTGAGTGTCTGGCGTTTGGTCCCTGACACACCTGGGCAGGAACCGCCGCCCTGTGTCTTCCCAGCTACTGCTGAGAGCTCCCCTCTGCTTGGAGGGAGAGCAGCCGGAGGCAACACTGCAGACTTTTCTTTGTCTTGTCCGACACAGCCAACTAAGTGAGCACGGGGCCTCCCTGAGCCCGGTGATCGGAGGTGCCGGGCACGAACTCTGGTAACAAGCACGGACCCAGGACACAACGGTCACACGCCCCGTGCACCTGCCCAGCTCCCCCCATCACGGTGTCTGACCGGTTCACGATTCCAGCCCGGCAGAGCTCGTCCTGCAGGACAGCCTGGCCATCTTGTTCGTCCCCCTCTCTCCTTTATTTATTTAAAATTTTTTTTATCCTCACCTGAGGACATTTTTCCATTTTTTGTTCAGATAGAGAGGGAGGGAGAGAGAGAGAGAGAAACATCGACATGAAAGGGACACATCGAGTGGCTGCCACCCGCACGACCAACCAGGGCCGGGGACAAACTACAACCGAGGTACACGCCCTTAGCGGGAACCGAACCCGGGTCTCCCTGGACCGCAGGCCGATGCTCTAACCGCTGAGCCAAACCGGCCAGGGCCCCCTCTTCCCTTTAAAAAGTCCTCCTCCCATCAGATCCAAGGGTGACATCTGACCCACGGACGCTGGCCACCCACCTGCCATACAGGACGATGCTGAAGTTGCCCTGGAAAGGGCAGAGGGCACTCCCAGCATGCAACTCTCCTCCACTGTCGATCAGGATGTGCCGGGTACGCAGAACAATGGGCTTGTCGTGGTCTTCAATGACCAGCTTCCCTGCGGAGGCAGGAACGGGTGAGGTTGGAGAGACGAGCCGCAGGTCACGCCGGCGCCGAGGGCCAGCCAGCAGCCGCCGACAAACACCGCTGAGCACGCTGTGCCCGCCGCGCTTGCTCCCCTCTCCGCCTCCAAAGCACCTGCTTGGTCTGCCGCCCCTGCACGTGTGGCCCTCGCTGCACAAGGCTCTGGGGGCCGGCTAAGCTGGCATGCTCGGGGCACCAGGGGCGTTTGCTCCATGAATCTCCATGTCTGGACCTCAGACAAGCCATTCCTAAGGGCTCAGAGCTGATGGGCACCTCAAGGAACCAGGTGTTCGGACAAGAACCCGAAGCGCGTGCCCTCGGCTCTGCCCACCTGCGGGGCCCCGAGGCCGGGAGGAGAGGGGGCGGGAGAGGCTGGCTCACCTCCGTCTGAGATGTGGATGGAGTGGACGGTGGCAGACGAGGTCAGCAGGAGCGCTCTGCCCTGGCCGATGTGAACGTGCTGGTCCCGGTCATGGCCAGGGTTCCAGGGCTGCAGCTCAGGGCTCTGGTCGGGGCACTTGGCCACCACTGTCAAGGACAGAGAGAGGTCACGGCTACCACGCACCAACCTCACCACGGACCACAGCAGAGGGGGCTCTCGCGCATCCTTGCGGCTCCTCCTGCCTCCTCTCTAGAGAGCTGAAAGCAAGGCCTCCAGGAGCCCCTGACCCAGGAGCCCGGGTCCAGCCACGTCTCTCATCAGCTCCTCACGTGTCTGTGCGCGGTGGCTGAGTCCCTGCCCTGGAGCCCCGGCCCTGCCTCGGGCCTTCCACCCCTTCACTGAGAAGAGGGCTCACGCTTTCTGTGTTCCTGAGACAGCTCTTCCAGCCTTCGTAAACCCCGAGGGGCTCAAGCAGGGTCGAACAGCAAAGGCAGCGAGGTGGAGCTCGATGGGATGGGAGGAGGGGGCACGAGGTCTGGGGCCTCCATCACACTGCGGGCTACTCAAGGGCTACACCGGCCTAGTCTGGCCTCGTCACTCTGTGCACGGTGAGACTGAGGCCCAGGGTGGCTTGTCTGGGACCGAGGGGTGAGCGGGAACTGTCAGAGCCGACACCCTGACCCCACCCTGCGGCTCCTTCTGCTGCCCCCGCCCAGCAGCTCCTTCTGCTGCCCCCGCCCAGCAGCTTGCTTCGACCGCTCTGCCGTGGCCCACCTGTGGTCGTGGCCCTGGGCAGGTGGGCCAGGAGGGCACTGACTGTCAGCATCGCCTTGAAGGAGCAGTACTGCCTCCCGGCCAATCCCATTCTGGCTGCGTTTCCCCTGAAACAGAAGCACACCCGGTCAGACCTGCACCCTCCACGGGCAGGCACACACGGCGGGCCACGTGCACGCGCAGAGGCAGTGCCAGGGCGGGCACGCTCCAGCCGCCATGACTCAGCGCTGGGCAGATCAGGGCACGCAAAGCCTGTCACCGTCCCGCCTGGGTCCTGCGTTTCAGAGACCCTGCGGTGGACGGAATTTCGTCTCTGATGCCCAAGCTCCCTCCCCTCCATGATGAAGCTTTTTTTCTTAGAACAGAGAAGAACAAAAATACTCCCAGTGAACAGGAGCTGGCAGTCAGATGCCACCAACTTGCTGTGTGACCTCTGCTGATTTGATTAACCTCTCTGGGCCTCGGTTTCCTCATCTGAAACAGGAGGACGTGAACAGGCTGACCCCACCGTTATGGGTCCATGCCTCTAAAGCAAGTCTTGATAATAACACTGAAATCCTAAATGTGATGCCCGTGTTTATAAACCCTCCTAGGGTCCATCCAAGAAGGTGGGACGGAGATAGCTAAGTCCTCCAACATGCATTTTCCTTCCTTTCTTGGTAAAAGAACTGATTTTTATCTGGACACTGTCACCTAGGTTGAAGGCTACTTCTCCAGCCTCTCTCTCATTAGCTGTGGCCTTGGAGTGAAGCTCTGGCCAACACAGCAGACACAGAGTGTGTGAATTTCAGGAAATGCTCCTAAAGGAAGGCAGGAAGCCTTTCTTCCCTCCTTCGTGCTGGCTGGAATCGAGACCTGACGGCTGGGTCTTCAGCAGCCACCTCTGGCCAGGTAGGGGGAGCCGGACGCCGGAGAGAGCAAAGCAGATAGAAAGAACCCAGGCTCTGACCTTGTGCAGAACTGAGCAGCCCTAGACTGCAAACTTATTTTGAGAGAGATTTACTACACTTCCACTTTGCTTCCCCCAAAGCCACTTATTGTGTTCCTTTTGCTCATACAGAAGGTGACATGGGAATCTGCCTCGGTAAACTCCGCACAGGAACTGTCTGAGAAGACGCCGCCCTGCCCTTTCAGAAGACAATGCCTCTTGGAGGAACATCTTTGTCTTCCGTCCTGTGTGGCTCACAGACGGCCTAGACGGGGCTTGGGGAGTGCCCGGGTCCCCCGCTCTTCCCCTGAGCCTGACCGCAGTGGTGCCCAGAAACAAAAAGACATTCTGCCACACGGAGAAAGCGGCTCGAACCCGTCTCGGGCCTCCCTTTGAACGAGCGAGGGCGGATCTGACCAGCCCTGACCTTTCCCTCCAGGTGAGCACTCCGTGTGAGTCCAGTGTTGGGACCCAGGAGGGTCTGAAAGGGAGCGACGGGGCCTTTGCCGGGCCGCTCGGCACAGGTGTGCGGGGAGCTGTGGGCGGGAGGGACGGTCCTCCCAGACCAATGCCCACGGTGTCCTGGTAATGGGCACCCTGCTGGCCCAGGCCTGGTCTGCAGAGAACAACGGGGCCCATTCTAGTGCCTCCGCCAGTGGCCGAGGCCACGCATCGTGGCTCCTGGGAACGGCGCCGTTCCCACGGCCCGGAGAGGAGGGTCCGATTTCATGCTCTGCAGGAGAAAGGGGGGGACCCTGGGGACAGGGGCGCTTTGTGTCCGTAGGGGAAAGCCGGAGCCTGCTCTCAAGTCTCCATCAGTTTAGAAAACCAAGGTCGTTTGCCACCTGCTGCCGCGAAGCCGCAGTCGTCAGGGAGCTGGGCTTGGGCCCCAGAGCCGGTCCCCCTGCTCGTCAAGGAGAGCGACCAGCCCTGAGGCTGGGGGTGGGGGCGTCCCTCTGAGCCTGCACGTCCTGGTGCCGAGAGGGAGGCTGACCAGGCGGGATCTCTGACACCGTCCCATCAGGTCACAGCTCACGTCAAAGACCAGAAAGATCGCTCTCTGGGTGGATGTAGAGACGATTCTACGGGGAGGGCCCGTGCTCGAACCCCGATCCCTGACGTTGAGGAGCTGTCCTCTCCAGCTGCGTCGGAGCCAGGCCTGCCGGAGCCGCGAGGCAGAGTCCCCCGCCGGAAGATGGGAGCCCCCGGTGGCTGGGGTGGTCGGCGTGATTCCTTGGCCCTGAGCACTTCCATTGCTGGGCGTATACAGCCGCCCCAGAAACAGTCTGCTGAGCGCCTCCCAGCTGGTTCTCAAACGTCACGTGGGCGGCGACCCCAAGGGGGGGGCTTTCTCGGTCAGCCCCGGAAAGCTCTCTGGCAGGGGGCTGGGTGCGCCTTCTCCGGCTGCGAGACACCCCTGGGAGATGAATCCCAGCCGCGGGAGGCCTGGGATGGGCGTTGTCGGCTAACAGTGAGGGGGTCGCTGCAGGAAGCCGGTGGCCGAGGCTGGCTGACCGCTGCCCTGGCTGGTCCCGACGGCCCCGAGCTGGCCTACTCCCCAAGGGGAGCAGTGGCCCCTCAGCAGAGCTCGTGTGGAAGAACCCACTTTGTGGAAGGGCAGCACCCGGGCTCCTCACAAGGACAAGCGCATGTTTTCTGGAAGCTGTGTCCCGTCCAGCTGTGGCTCGGTCCCTGTGTCTGCCGGACCTCACAGGGACGAGGCGAGGCAGGAGCAGAGCGGGAACCAGGGACGCTGCCGGCCACTGTGTCTCTGCCTCTCCCGCTGCCGTCACACCAGGCGCCCAGGTCTCTCCTCTTCCGGCAGGTGGCCCGGCCACAGCTGCCCTGGGTCCGGCTTGCCCCCTGCACAGGAAGAGGAACAGTGTTATTCCCGCCTCCAGAGGGGCCGCTGGAATCTTTTTTCTTAATCTTTTTATAGATTATTTTTTACACTTCTTTTTCAGTCACAGTTGACACTCATGTGCACAACACAGTGATTAGACATTGATATCACTTACAAAGTGATCCCCGGATCAGCCTAGTGCCCACCTGGCGTTACACGTCGTTATTACAATGTCATTGACGATGTTCCCTGTGCTCAGCTTCGCATCCCAGGGCTGTTTTCATAACTGGCATCCGCACTTCTTAACCCTCCCCCTGTTCCACCCCTCCCCCAGCCCCAGCCCATCCACAACCACCATTTCTTCTCTGCCTCTCGCTCGGGGAGGCACCCCCGCCCGGGGACCCATGTGCACGGGGCCACTTGCCGAATAAGCTAGGCCTCTGTTTCTTCCCCTGTGAAGTGGGGGGCCGCTGCAGTGGCCTTTGGGGATGCTGGGCGGGAGGAGAGGACACACATACGTGTGAGGCAGCGCACCAGGGCCACGGCGCCTGGGCCACGTCCGCCGGTGTCAGTGCGTCGCCATCAGCGGTCTGCCTCCTGGCCGCCGCCTCACGCAGCGGACCCTTGGCCCACGCACCACCCTGGGTTTTCGGCCCTTCCACAGATAGATGGGCAGAACTGTGTCAGCGCTTACGAGGTGCCGCTGAACAACAGGCGCTTTCTCCGAAGCTGGACATCGGGGACTGGATGCAGGAAACCCGCCCCCTCGGGGCAGCGTGTTTATGGAGAGGAGAAAATACACAAACATGACATCATGGAGCCCACGCCAGGCCCCGGGCAGGGTTCTGCCGGGATTGTGGGAGCGGGGCAGGCGCAGCCGCCTTCTCCGTGGACAGAGCGGACGGGTCGGGGACCCCACCATCCAGAGGACGGGAGTGGGGCAGGGGCCTCGCCCTTCCCGGGGGGCTCCGCCTGCCCCTGCCGGTCAAGCGATCAGAGCCCCCAGAAGACGAGGAGAGGGAGAGAACAAGATTGGAAATGATTATTTACACAGCGTGGAGTATCACACAGCCCGAGATTAAGCTGCTACTTGGGGGGAAGAGGGAGGCAGGGACAAGGCGGGCCGGGCGCAGGGCGATGGGCCCTCGGCCCCACTGTGCACTGTCCCCCTGCCGGCGATGGGCATGCAGGGTCTGAGTCCCAGGCTTGGACGCGCCTTCTCTTCACCACCGTCCTCCCAGCGGCCACGTGTACCCCCTAGAAATTCCACTCAGAAAGGAACCGGTGTCCCGGTGTCCTCCGCCCTTGGTCCCCAGTTGTTAGACACTTGACACATGGGAAGTCCGGCCCCTTGCATGGTCCCCCAGCCCCCTAGGCAGGTGTGAGCGTCCCCACGGGGGCCAGGGCCCCGGGCGCCACAGCCACAGCCCCCGTCGCCCGAGTCTGCCGCCCGGGGCTGAGCGGGGCTGCGTGCCTGCCCGCTGGGCCCGGCCCCTCGCCCCGTGGCGAGGCTGTGTCCTGCTGCACCGTGAAGCTGCCCGTCCTGGGTGAGGGGGAGAGGCTCATCTGTCTGTCCCTCCCACAGCCACTGACGGCTCCCAGGGCAGCACAGAGGCTCCTGCCGGGCTCACAGGTCCGGGCAGTGCCTGCTAGGGTGTCTGGGGATGACTACTTGACTTCAAGGACCAGCTGACCTGGGTCTCACTCGGGCTCTACCAGGCATCACCTGCGGAAGACCCCGCATCTCTGTGGGCGGGCTCTCGCTCCCTGGACAGGGAGGCGGCCCGGCTACGGGTTTTCCACCCTCTCACCTGCCCTGGGCTCATGCAGGGAGGCCCAGCCACCTGGGCCCTGGGCCCCGGCCACAGAGCTCAGCGACCTCAAAGAGAAGCCTCTCCCAGGACCGAGTCAGAGCCTGGACCCGCCGAGTCAAACCCGGCTGCGCACCTTCCCAGCTGGTGGTGTGCAGGCTTCCGGCCGGGTCAGCGACTGTGGAAATAAACACTCCGCCTCTGTTGTGTTTTCTACTGCACATTCAGCATCAGCAGCTGGCCCGGCCTGCAGTTGTGCGTGGGGGCCCACCTCCTGCCCTCTGGGCACCGTCCCCCCCGTCCAGGGTGGGCCCTTGTCACTGCCCCTGGGGTCCTGATGGCTACTGTGATCCCCTCTGCACACTGAGGGCTTCCTCCTCGTTCCCACAAGCAGCTTGATTTCCCACAGGGTCGGCGCTACGTAACAGCGAGGGTGCCCACGTGCGGGCAGCGGCCGAGATGAACAGGTCCGTCCTGAAGCACCTTAGGTGCGAAGTGGAGGCTGGACT